GCAATAATGTTGCTGCAACTTTTTATGTTGTATGGATATGAATTAATACTATATGTAGGATGTCTAAAATCTTTTGAAAACGAAAAATAGTGAAGATTAATCAGATCAAACTGAGAAGGAAAGTTATGTACTATTTTGTAAAAATCACAATAGTTATTAAGTTATTAATTAAAACATCTAGGCCAATGAACGTACGGGAAGCGATGGGCGAGACTGAACAGAAATATGGGTATATATAGGGTGTCTCATAACTAATGTTGCAGAGTTCGTGGAGACATAGTGCAGGTTAAGCAAACATAAAGGTCTCATACCATTTTGCGAGTTTTGCAATAATTATCGAGTTATTAATGACAGAAATCCGAGGAATAGGAGCGCGCCGACATAGATGATTGGAGAAGTGTTGCAGCCATTTCGACAAGAGTGCGACCCAGTCGATCAAGCAACTTTGCCGGTGCACGGCAAGGGGAAGGACAACGTGTCGCTATTCGTTTTTTATTTCGCCGTACTCCGCCAATAGTTACTAGATCGACTGGGCTGCGCTGTGGCTCAAGAGGCTGCGACGCTTCTCCAATCATCCATTTCGGCGCGCATTCACTCGTCAGATTTCTGTCATTAATAACTCGATAATTATTGCGAATCTCGCAAAACGGTATAGGACTTTTATGTTCGTCTTAATTCGTTCTATGTCTCCACGTGCAACATTAGTTATGAGACACCCCGTATATAGAGTGTTTCAGAACAATGGTACTAGAATTCGTAGAACGGACAACACAAACATAGAATTCCCATACTGTTTTGCGATATTTACAATAATTATCGAATTATTAATTACAGAAATCTAACTAATGAACGCACGCTGAGATGGATGATTGAAAAAACGTTGCAGGCATTCGAGTTACAAGCGGCCCAGTTGATTTAGAAACTGTTGGCGGGGCACGGCGATAATGCTCTATTTTTTGTTAATTTATCGATCTTTCGAAATTTCAATACCATCAAATTAACAAAAGTAAGTTAAATATTGAAAAAGTTACCAAGTTATCATTAAACATCTCAAAAAATATTAGGCAAATAAAAAAATGTTTCAGAGAGAAGTTGTTCAAATTAATTGGTGGAAAAAAAACGGTGTAATAAAAAATTGGAGTTTCCATTTAAGATTTTTATGTCGATCTTGATAACGTTTCTCAAGGTCATTCCAAGGTCAAACAATTATCAATATCTGATAGCTTTTTTTAAGCTCTACAACTTTTGTTTCAAATAATGTTTTAAACTACCATTATTTTTTGAAATAATTAGCTGTTCCGGAACTTTTGGAAGACCTTGTATAAAGGATCGTATATTAATCACATGATACATTTTTCGGGGTTTTTTATCTCCCATCTCTCTGCGTGATTTTAAGTGATATCACAGCTAACCCCTCCCTTCTATCACGTGATTTATTAATATCATCTTATTAATAAGAAATTCACGTATATAAATATATATTTATTTTATATATTATATAATTTTGAGTAAATTTGACATTAATCAACTGTATTGTATATACAGTCGTTGATAAAATTAAGTGGACATATCATAAATATATACGAAAGGTTAATTTAATTTAACTAATGATGTCAAAAAATCAAACCTTTGTTGCTTATTTAAATTAACGAAGTATAATTTGACAAAATATAAAGAAAAACCAATTCTAACAAATAATATATTATAATTTTTATTGATTAATGATAATAACATAAAACTGCACATAGTCAAAATTAAGTGGACACTATACAAAGTAAGTATTAATACTTTGTATTGTAGCCTTTTGCTTTCATTATTGCTTGTAAATGTCGTAGCATACTTTCAACAAGTTTTTTCAGATAATGTTTATCAATTCTTTGAAATTTTAGTTGCAATTCATTTAAAAACTCTTCTTTATTATTGCGTTTTTCTAATGGAAACTCTACATCCAATAAATTTTCGATTGGGTTAAAGTCCGGACTTTGTGGAGGCCATTCAAGAACTTCTATTTTACAATTCTGGAAAAATTGTTTTGTTTTCTTTACTGTGTGCTTCGGATCATTGTCTTGCTGAAGCATCCATTCCTTATCGAGGTCCATTTTTTAGAATTGATTCTTCTAAGTTTTCATTTAAAATGTCAATATGTTTATCAGCATTCATGATTCCATCTATAGCTACTAAATTTCCAATCCCATATCACGAAAAACAAGCCCATATCATTATTGAATCTACTCCATACTTGATTGTTGGTGCAACATATTGCATCTTTAGAGCTTCATTCGATTTTCTCCACATATGTGCTTTCTTTTTTTATTCCATAATTCAAAGTTACTTTCATCGCTCCATATTATTCGTTTCCCAAATGATAATGGCATATTTTTTTGCAAAAGCTAAATGTTTCTTTTTATGCACTTTATTAATGTATAGTTTACGTCTACTTACACAACTCTTTAAACTCACCTCTTTTAAACTTTGTCTCACAGTTCTTGAAGATATGTTTAATTGTACTTGTTCAACAATGTAATATATTATAATATTTTTAATTATAATATTTAAATGTTAATGAAAGATCTAAATATTTGCTATTGTTTATTTTAAACTATATTTTTCATAAAAAAGTTATCAAGGTTAATTATATCTTTTCGAAAAATAAAAATTTTATGAAATAATAAAGATTATAAAAGTCTATAAACTATTTTACAATTACAATACAGATATAAACGGGTATTTCTAACTATTTCATAAATGACATAGTTAGATATGTCATCAAGATTTCAACACAATTGCTCAACAAGCGAGAGACCGTATCATAAGAAAGTTACATACCTTTCAGGGACTAGTTGAATATAACAGAAATCATCCCGCTTACCGATCATGTACAGTCTTTCAAATTCATAAAGATTTTAATGCAGTAGTTTTTAACTAATATTCTGCGAACATTTTTTTCAGTAAAGCCAAATTTCTTTTTATCGACTATTAAAAATTATACAATGCATATTTGTAAATAGTACACATATTAATAAATCGTATCTGCTGATTTATATGATGAACACAAAATTTTATACCGCTGCTAGTTATTTCTTATACATTTTTTTATTATAAGTATTTAAAATTATGATATATATATCTCGAAGCATATATAATTTGAAACTAAAATTATTTCTTGTATATGTGTACGTGTGTGCATGTGCGTGTGCGCGCATGTGTGTGTGTATGTGTGAGATATAAATATTATACATAATACAAATTATATGTTATATATTATATAAAATTAATATTCTATGTTTATTATATCTTTAAAGTATTGTATATTTTTTATAACGCATATATGCACATATGAAATATAAAATTATGATGTATAAAATATCACATACACACACACACACACACACACACATAATATAGCAGACAATATAGATATATTATACACATTTATATATACGTATAATTTTATTTTGTGCTGTATTAAAATTGTGTGGAATATAATTCTTAATTTTTTCCCAAAAAATACGAACAGGAGCGTTAGTAGTCTAAACATTGTATTTATTTTCTGCAATTTAATTGCAAATCACTAATAAATAACGCTATTAGTAAGTGATATTATAATAAGTATAAAAAGTAATTTTTGATGTTATCATTTCAATTTCTCTATCACAAATTAATATTGCGCAATTTATTGAATAATAAATAATAAATGATTGACGATTATTCAAATAATAAGATTAAAATACTACAAAGTAAAAGTATACTTTTACGAAGAAATATTTCAAAGCATACTTTCACTAGACAGGCTATGGAACTCTTGCAGCTATTAAAGTACATTCATCGTATAATCGAAATTTCTCCAACACACATACACATTTTATCATATGTTTAATTTTATTTTATTTAGTAATATTAGTATTGCACAAAATTATTATAATACGTAATTAGAAAAAAGGACATTTATAATCTTTGTATTTTAATTTGTGTACGCTATATTTCCTTTAAGTAGTCAAAAAACTAATTTCCTATGTAAACGATAAAACTAAAATTTATATATATATATATATATATGTATTATAAGGATGTAAAGTTTTTCCATATTATTATTTTCTATTTTTTCGTAATATTTTAATTCTTTTTGAGTATATCAGTATAAAAAAACCTTTTTATATTTTATAATTTAATATGTTAATATTTTGCAGTTTCATAAATTTAAAAATATAAATATTATATACTTTCAGCAAAACCAACGAAATTTCTGACTCTTTTATAAAAGATTGCCAATTTACTGATAGTTAAATATTTTATAATTTTATGGAAAATTTTACGAAATAATTAAAAGACTTAAAAATCAGAGGAATACTTAGAGAAATTATTGTTTTCTAAATCATTTTGTGTATCAATATATGTATGCGATTTCACGTAAAAATATTTAAAAACAAAGGTAAACAAATATAAATATTGAATTTATAAAATTAGTTTTATAGATCAGAATACTTTCTTCTTAGTTTCTAAAAGAGTTCAAATTACGATTATATGATATAAGAAACCATATTATAGTGCACATATTTTATAGTTAATTAATAAAATATTTATGAATTCAATAATATAGAAAATTAAACAAATTCTAATATGTTCTAGAGTTCTTGTATCTATAAATTAGTTACAAAACTAAAAATTATATTACTAAGAAATTTCTTATCTCTGTATATATAATTCTTGTATTCGTTAAAAATGCATAAATTAAAAATGATGGAAAATTCTTTAATTAGGCATTGTAGTTTTTAACTTACAAAAGATACATAGTATTCATATAATAAATTCATATAATAAATTATAAATGAGCGAATATAAGTTTTAAGAAATTAAAAAGAAATTGCCATTCGTTATGATACATATATGTAGATGAATAACGAATGAGAATTGACGAAAAATTGATGTATCATAATGTTATTTATTAAATTTAGAAGCAATTTTGATTAGAAAACGCCAAGCAAAATTAAATACATGCTCACCACGAAGTACATCGGCTGGTATCAGCCTCCGAAAGGTTTTGGGTCGCTCTTCCTCCTTCTTACTTTCATCAGCGATGGCTATGAAAACAATCGTGGTGAACAATAAAACGAACTTGACAGCGTGCTCCATAATTATGAGTCGATAGAAACAGATTCACTAAGGTCGTTTGCGTTTGCGAGAAAATGAAGAAAAAAATAAGGAGCAGAAGAATGGAGCTTCTTTTATCGATTCAGACTGGTTGAGCTCGATTTCTGTAGCGGCATTTTATAGCCGGACTTCGGGCGGAGTCCCTGTTTATCCCCTCCAAGCCAACATGGTCTCTCACCTCTTGAACCAGTCACCAAAGGAAGAATCGTCCGCGATCGGAGTTCGAGTAGTACCTGAGATATTCGATGTGTAAAACACGTGCGTTCTGTATCCATATGGTGGATAAGTAGGGATGCATCCTACAAATACGCATGAAATTGGTTGACCTGCATTCGTGCCACGGTCGCGCCGTACCAATCTCACGGTGAAACTTATCTGACATAAGCAAGCAAAAATCCTATCTACTACCTTATTTAACTTTATTCCATTTAATTTTACTGTTCTATTCGAAACAATTTAGTCCATATATGTCTTAAAAATGATTGACAACGAAATTATATGACAACGCTGCAATGTCAAAAATATCCTGATTATATGTTTTAACTTCTATTGTTAGGTTTATTATAATTTTCAATAATACATATATGTCTATATACAATGCTTATAAATAAAAACTCATAGTTATTAAGGCGAAAAAGAGTAGATTGAAAATTTCGAAAAGATTGATTCCATTTTTTATATTTTCTTAAAGTATGGAGTAAAATGTATTTGTAAAGTTAAATGCAAATTTGATGGAAAAAGTGAAGTTACGAATTATAAATATAGCGAGATTTTTTTTGCTGTAATACGGTTATAAAATGCAAATATACTTAATGCTGATACTTGTATTAAAATAGCAGTTTCCTTTATTCCATCTATAAATGTAGAAAATAATAACAATGATGATGATAATAATAATAATAATAACAACAACGATAATAATAATAAAAATAATAATATATATTCACCCGTAAAAAAAACGGGCTACTAAATTTTAGCACAGTTTTCTGCATATCTTTCAACAGCTTTCAACAGATAACTCAGCTAAAAATTATCGTATTGATATTAAACAAGGCTCAAATTAAACCTTGGACATTTCTTGTTAACAACCGAAAACCTAAAAGTGAATTATAACAAATGTTTTACAAAACGGCGGATGTTAAAGATAGATTTCGATTAATAGGAAAAAAATTTGTTTTTTAACTGTTGTACTGCTCAAAGGAATCGGTTCTCTGGTACAAAAATATATAAGATTCAAAGCTCATTTATTTCATAACAAATCCATATTTTAATCATTTTCCTACGACCTTTTTTGATAAAGTTATGCTGTTTTGAAGAAAGTGTTATAAAGCCGGACGTGAATCCTATCGAGCATTTATGGGCAGCATACTGAAACGAAGAAGAAGAAAACATAATATTCAAATGTTAGCAACACTTCACAATGCTTTGTAAAAATGAAACAATGTAAAACGAGAAGAAATTAGAAATTTGATTTACAATATGCCTCAACGAACAGAAGAATTGTTAAATACGAGAGGAGGCAATGCACAATTAAAGTTAAACACACACACACACACATATACACACACACAAAGGTACACGCACACGCACACACGTACGCATACATACACACACTCGCACCCACATACATGATCAGATTCTTGCTACTTCCACGCCGTTGATCTTGGTAACGTTAAAAGCAAGACACACACATGCATGCATATGTACATGCATGCACTCACACGAGATTTAAATTCGATCATCTATCACCACGTTAATTTGACCTTAAAAAAGATAAAAAAAAGCGCCAAGGTACGCGCGTGTCTGTGTCTGTGCAAAAAACTTGTAAAAACACTTTTGTATTTGTACAAAAATCTATTGTAAAAAAGAACGTATTAATAATTATTATAAAAAAATATCTTTTGTAAAAAAACTTTGTACAAAATCTGTTGTAGAAAAAAGTGAGGCAATTTCACCGACAGAATATTAACATTTTCGCTTAATTTTTCCTGCTCTATCCTCTGCTGCGTTAGTTTTCTACCGCTTTCTTCTACTGATTCAGACTGACGTACCAGCACCGACACGTACCGACACGCACCGTCAAAATGTTGTTTGCGAGAATGTCGGTCGGTGCTGGTACATCCCGTTGACGGAACGTGCAGATCGGTGTTGGTGTGAATAGTTTCATTAAAACGCGTCTTTTAAAGTTTCGTCGTATCGGTGCCGGTACGTATCATTGCCGGTATATGACGGTCCGTGTCGCATAATGTGAATCGACTTTTATGTGTCGCCATCTCTCGGCGCGAGCGTTGCGTATCGTGGCATACGTATCATGTGTCGTATCCATAGATATAGGAATATAGGAACAGAGCATAAGCTCGTAAGACAGGCGAGGGGAGTTGTGCTGAAATGCGGGGGGCGACTGTGCCTAAGTTTCATTGGCTACAATAGTGCGCATGTTCAGAACGTGTGATGCAACGACTTGGCTATCACTGGCAAATAGTAAATGTAACAAAATGATAAGAACTATTTATACTGACAATATTTTGCAGAGGTTATGCATGTGTCTTTTTTTTCATAATTTCACTCACACACAACTTCATATACATCTATGTATGTATCAAATACTTACACACGACACAACTATCAATTAGATTTAGGCACAGTTTACCTCGTCGCACCGTCCCGCAATGGTTACCCCCCGCAACTCTATGCTCTGTCCCTATATTCCTATGTCTATGGTCGTATCGCGCTGGGCTGCAAGAGCTATTAGACGTATATCGCGCTATCTCTCGGTGTTAGACGCAAAAGGACATTCTAGAAATGAGCCGACGACGTTTCTGAATGATAAAAATTAGCTATTTCTGATTTTGCGCTAAGATATATTCGACCACAAGGCACGCAGAGCAAAAGTAATAACAATTTTGTTATATAATTGGACCCTCAGGAATCGAGAGACCATTTAGAACTTGATTGAATCAGCCGTTATAGCAAAACGAGAAATTTAGCCTCTGATCAACTAGAGAGGTCGCGTAATAATACGCGGCCGGTCACGCCATGCTTCGCTTTGCGCGCTCACTTGCCGCGAGACGCTACCGCGTCTATTGATTTTATCTTCAAACGTTACGTTATAATCATATTCTACTAAATTAAACCACTTTATTTGCTATTACGACCGTATTAATTTTTTTTTGCTCGTATTGATTCTGATTGTATTAATTTTCCTTATCACATTAGCCAACGATATCGCCGTCAACTATTGTATTTCGTTGTGCAATCATATATGTTTCCCTAGGGCAGAAACAAGTGCATGCATCTGTTACGTCCTAGAAGAGGAGCGCAACTTTCCGTTCGCGAGTAAGGCGAACCTCGTTCGTAACCGCGTGCCAGTGAACGGGTCAGGGACCCGACGGGTCCCTTTACTCGGGCATTGACGTACGACGAGCGGTCCGTTTTTCGGTCAGGGACGCGAATCCCTTTACCGGGGATAGGACCATGAGTTGACTGTTAGAAGGGTGGGTGTGATTTTGAAATCAATTGGAAAAAAAGAATGAAATATAAACAGATTTATTAAAATGAGTAAGATAACAAAATGATATATGGCGCGGCTTAAAATATAACCATAAAATGGTATTACGGCGCGGTTTATGACAATTTAATTGAATAATGGTGTGTGTATATGTGTGTGTGTGTGGGATAGAAGAAGAAGGAATGGAAAGAGAAAGAATAGGAATAAGAAGTTAATCAGGTGAAGGGGAACGGGAGTGGTATGGCGAATTTAAAGAAGTGGATAGTTCGGAAAAAGAGACAGGAGAATAAGATATTGGAGGGGTGGAAGGAGCGGATGCACGTAGGGGAAAAGAGGTAGGAGTATCAGGGGATAAATATTGAGAAAATAAGAAAGAAGGTAGGATTGTCGGGTCTGGATGGAAATCTATGTCTAATCCGATGCTAATTACGTTTCTGATATACTGCAATTGTTGGTCAAAATTATATGGGTCTGTTATTTCATCAAAGAGGTGGAGGACCCGATGGATACTAGCGAATGATAGTAATGGCCCACTAAAACCGTAGTTCCACAAGGGTGGAATTAGTAAGAATGGAGGTAAGGAAAGTAGAATAGTAAATAAAACTACTTACTGCTGATTCACGCAAGGAAAGGGGTGGTTGAAATTATCTACGTGGGGTCCCAATTTCGGGTTGTCCACTCCCAGCTGGCAGCTGCTTCTCTCTTTTCTTTTTTGGAAGGTTGGCGAGACCCCACTAAGGATAGTATTCGTGCACTTGCCACACTTGAGTCTCTGAATTGAGTCTAGACCTGATTCCGAATCTGACTATGACTTTTTTTGTTTTCGTTTGTTCTTCTGTCTTTCTGAATAGTGTCGCGGAGGTGGATTACCGCGGTTTTTATATCAATGATCGGAGACAGAAACTATCAGGATGGGTAGAGAGATGGCCTTTGAGGAAGGGGTGAATTGGTCTTAGTGGGAAAAAGTCTCAGCCATTAGAAATTAAGGATGAAGTTAAAAGACATCATGGGAGAAGATGGTTAGTTTTTGGAGATATGAATATGGAAGGGCTAAAGGGTGGAGCGTGGGTGTCTCATAGTTTTAGGTGGATATAATATGATTGGCTGAATGGATTAGGCGCGACAAGCGTGGAGGTGGTGGATTCTTGAGATAGAGAAATGTATACAAGTGGCCGGCTGGAAAGAATCAAAATGCCGTAAATCAAGGGTTGAGATAAGAGTTTATAACCAACGGTGAAATAGGCTTTGTTGGTTGACTGATAGGGCACATATGGTTTTGGATTGGGAAGATGTAAGTTTCAAGTTTTAGAGCAGGAATGCTCTGAGTTGCTTTGTTTCACTGAAGGTTTGTTAGCGCGGAGTTCCAAATTTTTATAGCTAGGACGACGGACACACTTGACGAACACTACCCAGATATAAACTTTAAACGAAGACGTAGATTTTTACAACAGGGCACTGTTTCCTGTTATGGAATTTTCCCGAATCGCCTTTCATTTGGCGCGACGGCTGTTCGCCAGATGGGTCTGTTCCCTAATTTATATGTATATATGTATATATTCCTATTATAGTTATATTAGGAGAATATAAATCCGCGAGAGGAAAGAATTTTTGCTAATTAAATCTACAGGACGTAACACATCAATAAGCTCATTGCATCAACAGCTCAACGTCAGTACCTGCGTATGACGATGAATTGTGCCACCCTTGCTTACCTCCTATACCCGATTCGTAATAAGCAAATTATTTATCTTTATAATTCAAAAATTGAGCTTCGGATAACATTTTGCAAGAAAAAAAATTGTCTTAGAACTCGTTCAAGAACATGTCATTTTAGGATAGGAAGTTTTTTTGGATCATCATGTATAACGATAGAACTATTCAATAATATTAATTTATTGTTATTGACTAACCAATAAATAACAGGTTGCTAACAAAGTCATGTCGTTTCTCACGGATGATTTTATTTGTCATTAAACGCAATTAACTTCACTCCAAATCTTTTAATCTTGTATCATTTTGACAGCTGACATTTCAAATTTTCTTAAAAAAAAAGTGCGTCATTCTGTAAAGAATTATTTGTTTAGCATTGAGTTAAAAATGAAAAATCAAAACGAACATTTCTGCGAGAAATGGTTGGTTTCATACTGGAGAAACACTGCTAAACTAGTATAATAAGTTAGAATGAGACAAATATATTTTTCTTACTAGTGCAGCTAAATAGAACAGACCATATTTTACTTTTTTATTTCCAAAAAAGAAAGAACGCTGTGCAAGCTCGTTAAAAGTTATGTGCTGTATATGGTAAATCTTTAACAGAACGCCAGCGTTGGTTTGCCCTTTTTCGTTCAGAGGATCTTTCTGTAAAAGATGCACTACGGTCAGGCTGGCCAATTGAGGTCAACAACGACAAAATGAAAGCATTGCTTGAATCCAACCGCTATTATATGACACAAGAAATGGCTGAGAAGCTAAACGTATCACGTATGAGCATTTAAAACATCTTGGATATGTCAATAAACTCGATATCTGAGTTCCACACGAATTCAAATAAATTCATTTCATCAAACGCTATAAACTAATATCAGCGATTCTCTCTTGCAACGTGACCAAAACGATTCGTTTCTGAAACGAATATTAACTGGCGATGAAAAATGGATTGTTTACGACAATTTGGAACGAAAAAGATCGTAGAGCAAACGTGATAAGTCGTCATAAAGCACTTCTAAAGCAGACATTCACCAAAGAAAGATTTTGCTACTTGTTTGATGGGATTATAATGGTATTATGTTTTTTGAACTGCTTAAACGATTTATGCGAAATTATATTGTCATTAATTGGAAAATTAAATGAAACGAACAAGCAGAATAAGTGCTTAGAACTGGTGAATTGTAATGGTGTTGTCTTTCACCATGACAATGCTAGACCACATACATCGTTGATCACCCGCCAGAAATTGTTGCAGCTTGGGTGGGGTGTTACCACATCCATCATATTCACTTGACTTTGCATCATCAGATTACCATTTATTTCGTTCCTATCAAAATTCCATGAAGGGAAAAGAATTCGATTTTGATGAGGCTTTCTAACGGTACAGTTAGTTTTCTGCCGATAAGAACAAGAAGTTCTATGAAGTTGGAATCATGAAGCTACTAAACAGATGGCAAAAGATCATTGAATTAAACGGACAATATATTACAGAATAAAATTTTTGTTTAGTATGAAAAAATCGCTTTTCATTTACATAGAAAGACGACATGATTTTCTTGCCAGCTTTTCCGTAATAATATCAAGAGATACGGTAGTGCCTCGCGCCAAGTGAACGCGCGAACGAGGCGGCGAGACCGAACCGTGTATTATTACGCGAAACCTCTAGTTGATCATAGGATATATTTTCGTACCGCTATAACGGCTGAACCGATTAGGTTCTGCATAAGCTCAATCGATTCCGCAGAGTCTAATTATATAAAAAAAACTATCTTCATTTTTGTTGTACATGTTCTGTGAGCTTAGAAATTTATTCTCAAAATACGAAATCGTAAAATTTACGACTCGTTCAACAAATGTCCGATTGACTTTATTTCTACTAGAGAGCGTCACGAAGTCACGCGGCTACAAAATAGCCAGTTAAAAGTACATCATATAAATACATATTCATAGACCATTTAATTAATTAATTAACAATGCACGAATCACGTCGCATATTTTAAAACTCCAAACTGTTCTAGTGGTCGTGTACACTGAGTTGCAACGAATCGTTCCTTGAGAGGGGAAATGGAATACTCACACTCTGGTATATGGTCTGTTCTATTTAGCTGCACTAGTAAGAAAAATATATTTGTCTCATTCTAACTTATTATACTAGTTTAGCAGTGTTTCTCCAGTATGAAACCAACCATTTCTCGCGGAACGATTCGTTGCAACTCAGGATATGTATGTGTGTGTTATCAAGAGACGCGGCAACGTCTCGCGCCAAGTGAACGTGCGAAGCAAGGCTTGGCGTGAGAACAGCCGCGTATTACTTACACCGACCAACTAGTTCAGCGCAGACAAGATCTCTTGTTTGGCTATAACGTCTGAACAGATGAAGTTCTGGATAGGCTCAATCGATTCCTTAGAATTGATTTATTTAACTAAACTATCTTTATTTTCGTCCTTTATGCTGAGTGAGAGGAGATATTTTAGTTGAAAGTCCGAAATCGCCAAGTTTCTATCTCAAGATTTTCGTTGCACAAATATCCAACTGAACTATTGTCCGTTAGATGGAGCTATGAATAGATGGACAGATACCTTGAGCAATAATGTGTAACGCTGCTGGTACGTTCGTAAATGTGATGTTTTTTTCGTGTTCGTTCGTAGAGATGGCCTTCGACCTTTAAGGCCGGTGTTTCTTACTCATCGGGTAACTTACTAACAGTTAAATCAAAGCTCGGCAAAGTTTACAACTTTCGGCCGATTTTCGGAAGCTATGCCTTCTATCTCCCCTTACCGCGCAGCGGATCCAGCAACTGACAGTCGCGGCTCGCTCAGGACTGTTGAGATTATAAGATGCATCTATGTGATGCCTACTAAAGGCACCGTTTTTGCATCGTATCGTGACTGGCAATGAAAAGTGAATACACTACGATAACCCGAAGCGTAAAAAATCGTGGGGCACGCACGCACGCACGCACGCACGCACGCACGCACGCACGCACGCACGCACGCACGCACGCACGCACGCACGCACGCACGCACGCACGCACGCACGCACGCACGCACGCACGCGCACACACACAAATGCACATACACACACAGAAAAAAGTGTAAATCCGACCATGCAACCGTCACACCTTGTAATATTAATGCCGGCGGTACTGTAACTTTCAAGTTTCTTAACTCGAAAAGTACTTCATAAAAATATATTTTATAATAGTGTTTTAAAAAGCTTTCGAGGTAAGCTACATGAATATGCAATGAGAATTAGGAAGCCCCATTGAAAAAATTGAAGATGACCGCCGCATGACCTTGAATACGCTATTCAAGGTCATCCTGATATTGTCATCTGATACGTCATTTAAAACACTACAACTTTTGTATAAAACATTTTTTCAAAAATTCTCTATTTTTTAAATACTTCACCGGTCCGGGACTTTTTGCTCACCTTATATATTAGTATATTCAGCTAGAGAAAGAAATAAAATAATTTGAAAATATTCTTTAATTGTAAAAAAATCAACTTCTAATGAACTATACGTAATGCAAATCATATCAAAATTCTTTAATTTCTAAGAAAAATGTATTATGCAATTTTCAATTATTTTATTTCTTTAAACTATACTGAAAAAGTTGATTCTATCCATAATATAATCAATTTCAGTAATAGTGTTTTTAATCCTACTTAGCAATGTTTGAATAGTGAAATTATGAATGTAATATGAAATAATACAAAAAGTGGTTTTGCAAAAGTGTGTTGCGCAAGTTGCACACACGTTATCAATTCGAAAACACATAAATTGAAGAAAAATATAAGCGCAATTATATAAACAGGAATAATAGAAACAAAGACATCGAAGTTGATGATGGTGTTAGAGAACTTGTGATAATATTTAAAGGAGTGTGCGAGTTCTTCCAAACGCGCAACAGACTGTTTTTACAAATGTTCCACTAAGGTATAAAACTGATGGATTGTCGATCAACTGACATCAATCTTGCGAAGTAGCTACCAAGATGAAGATTGCAGCTATATTTGCGACGTCCCTTCTCGTTTGGGGTTTCGTCAGCGCCGGTGAGGTCGAATCGGAAGCGAATGCGGCGGCATCAGCGCAAACATCCGCGGGTGCATCCACGATTGGTCACGGCAAATTAACGACTCAAGCATCCTCTCATGCATCCTCCAGTGCGTCAGCAATCAGCAAAGGAGGATGGGGCTACCATTACCATCAAGGAAATACTAAGAGCAAAATGGTAAATGGTGCTGGAATTGCAATCGAAGGAGCAATAATTGGTACTGGAATTGGCAATACTGCGTCCGCTTCCGCGGAAGCACTTTCAAGAGGACTTGGCATTGGACAAGCAGCAGCTGAAGCGCAAGCTGCAGCAGCTGGTCAGGCAGCGATCGCCTCTCAATCATGCAAATTAGCTAGCAAAAGTACTGCTAAAGCAATTGCCTATGTTGAGGCAGCGGTTAAAGCTCAGATTGACGTGGCCAACAAAGCATTTGAAGCCGTGGAGAAGTCGGCTATAGCTGCTAAGGCTGCAAAGATAACCGAGGAAGATGTCGCTAATGTGAGAGCAGCAACCGGTAGACTGGAATTAGCCTCAAGAGCTGCTTCCGCTGCCGAAAGACGTGCTAGCGAGGAATCGGAAGCGGCTAATGAACGTACACAAGCTGCGGCAGCCGCTGCCGCTGAAGCTGAAGCCAAAGCAAATGCCGCTAAGGTAGCAGCTGTTGCTGCTTCGCGCATTGCCGACGCAGCAGTTGCTATCGACAGCGAAGCTGTTATGTCGGTACGCAAGGCCAAGGAGACCCGCGTCAATGCAAGGGCCGCTGGTGCACGGGCCATAAACGCACAAGTTATTGCCTCTGCTGAATCCGAAGCCAGTTCTGATCTTGAGAATCGTGCAGGTGTGGCGCGTGCAAGTGCTTCTGGAGCCGCCGAAACCAAAGCTATAGCTACCGGTGCTGGAGCTACTGCTGAAATTGCAGCTTACAGCGGGGCTAACAAGGGTGAACTTATCGACGCTGGTCCTCTACCGAAGATCATCAGCGTCATTGCAGACTTAACTAAGGATGAGGTTGAGGCCATCAAGATCAAACATGGCCGAGATCATGGAATTCATAAGGAAATAATTTATAATGAAAATATTGTGGAATCAGCAGCGTCCAGCAGCGCTAGTGCTAACGCTGGTAGCATCGGCGGTGGCAAACTGGGGGGAAGAGGAATTGCCGTAGCTAGTGCTTCAGCTAGCGCGGAGGCGGACAGTAATGCGATAAAGAAATGGTGAACAACATGGCGACGCATGCGAATCTTGAATCCTACATTTCGCATGTGCACGAATCTTTTAAGCAACGGATAATAGTAAACTAGCAAAACACAATTATATATGCATAATTAAAACAAATGATAAAAAAGAGCATTTATGTCAAACAAAATTGTAAGAGTGAGATTAAATTGTAGCAGCTATACCTACATTCAATCTTTTATTGACAACCTTATCTCATTTATTTTTTTAATTTCGAAACTATAGCTTATAGAATACATAATTTGCGATCTTGGTACACACACACACACACACACACACACACACACACACACACACACACACACACACACACACACACACACACACACACACACACACACACACACACACACACACACACACACACACACACACACACACACACACACACACACACACACACGCACGCACGCACACGCACGCACACACACACACGCACACACACACACACACACACACACGCACACACACACGCGCGCGTGCACGCATATATTCCTGAGAATATATAAGAGAATATATATCAAAGAAATTGCTACATATTTTCATTTTCAAATCGCAAAAAACTAAACCTAAATCTGATTTTAAAATTAATTAACTCTCAAATGTTCATCACTCTATTATGTTGCACACGTGCTTGAATGTATGTATATTTCTCACAACATAATAAAAAAACTTTCAATAATTCGATTGGTTTACACATATTTTGTAATAAGGAATTCGATCAATTCTATTGCCTTCTCTTTTCTAGTAGATTAATGAATAAAAATAAAAAATATAGAAGATGTCTGTTATATAATTTTTAATATTTTAAGTCTCTTATGTCTAATACCATCAACAAAAGAATACTGGTAGTTTATTTTTGATGGATATTGTTTTGATGAATATGATTTGTATATATATGTATATATATACAGTGATCTGATTGACTGAGGCCATCCAAGTTTATTAGTTTAATTGCAGTTGTAGTCTTGTAACCTACTCATAAGGATGAAATTCAATTTAATAGCTGGATTTAATAGCTGAATGTACATTGGATGATAAATGTACCTAAAATTGAGTTTGCAATCAGAAATATGAACTCAATAAGTATAATAATAAATGTTATATTATATATCTTTCTCTCTCACTTCTGGTTTTACCCCATGCGACGCGAGCCAATCAGCAATTGTTCACCCATTGGCCGATCTTTGTTTAAGGATCTCTAATCAAAGAGGGAGGCATACCACAGCGCCGGAAACGAGAAAGAAGAGTCATAAAATAAATCGCGAAGTAGAGCGCTGGGAATGGTGCAATTTACAAAAATAGCAAACATCTCTACCTTTAAATAAGATGGCGAATTGATTGAATAAATTCACTTTTGTTCTAACAATCTACAAAGTTGCGGTACACGATACAAATGTAGCACAATACAACATAATTAATAAAAATATAGAATTCGAGAAGTGCGAAGCAAACTTTACACAGATAGGCAAGGGTCTATTCACAACCATTTAATGCATTTCGGGGAAGACAACGAGATAGTCTCTAAAACGAGTGTCAATCGGGACATAAAATGTAAATGTACAGAGATTAAGAGTTTTGTTTAATTAACAACATTATTTTACGTTCTTCCGTGTTCGCTTGCCGTGTTCTTTACTTCCTCTATAAGAACATAATAACATAAAGACATAATAACATAAAGAAAGCATAAATCTGTAAAACAGAAAAGAAAATGAGCGATCCCAGCACCTTCTCCCTCTCTCCTTTTTCCTCCTCTTTTTGTTTTACATGTTTTAAATTTTATAAATGTAATGTTCTCTGAAATTATCTTATGGATACATATATAGCGACGATTGAGAAAGATGCCAACGCGCAGTACCGCACGAGCTTCCCAAACGGATCAATAAGAAAATGCGCGCACATCCATTCGCCCAGTCGCCCTCACAGCTCAGGAAGCTTCTGTCGCGAGTCTGCATGTATCCACCTGTGTGTATTATCGCAACGATTTGCTATAGAAATTGACAAATTTTTCTATATATACACATATATTTATATTATATATAGTTCTACACATTATGATATAAAATTCCGTTATTAAAATCCAAATTTTGTCATCGTGAGTTAAAGCAGTGCATATTTGTGTATATAGTGCATTGGTTGGTTGATGTACACAATGGGGACCAGATTCGCAGCATGTAATTACTAATTATTTACGTACTATTCTTAACTATATAATTAAATAATATTATATATAATTAAATCTATCCATCATACTTGCTATATGTTTACATTTACCACATACATTTACACTCTTTTATTTATTGCACTCACTAAAACATCAAGAGATTTGGTTCAACAACTAGAATAATATATAAATGTTGAATTTTATCAAATATATAGAGAATTTTTTTATTTGACTTAATAATAAAGTATACCAAGAAAATTATATCTTTCTTGATGTGATTATTGCATTTTTATACGTATATTTTACATATAACTGTTTATCATAATTTAACTTAAAATTTTTTATTTTTCAACACAGTTAATGGCCTTATAAGTGAGAATATATAGATCTAAAATTCTTGCACAATATGTTGAAATAAAAAGTAAAATGTACAAACATATATAAATAGACATATCCACAAAATGATATTTTCGAGCAATTAAGATATTTGTCAAATATTTCAAAAATTTTTTCTTCATTCCAATAATTAATAAAGACGTAAAATAAATAGCCGTGATATTACATGATACACGGTAATTAATCTATTTTTTAATTACATTAAGTTTACGGCTATTTGTTGATTTTTGGAACAAAGGAGAAAATTTTTAAATATTTTGTTAATGTGCTCAATCCGCCACAAGTTTCATTTTATCCAACTAGAAATGATTAATCGAAATAATATGATTAATGCCAAAAAATTAATTCAAGAATTAAGTCCGAACTTCAATATTTTTGAGTAACAAGTATTTTATACATAAATATATTATTAATAAATACATTTTAATAGAAGTTTATCATATTTAGTATATTATGTTCGATATATGTTATATAGTTTAATATTCCTGACTTAATAAACAAAAAATCATTATAGTAACATTATTACAACATTGTTTAACAATACGTAATGTTTTCGAATATATCGCTTTTAATGTTTTATACAAAATAATTATAAATAAACTCTGACATTGATTTGGAAATTTTAGTGATATTGAAATTACATATGAGTACAACGTTGTAAGTTAATATTATTTACACATTCTTTTCATATTCTGACATGTGTTTTTTCTATATTAACGATGTGTCTTGTTAAAAAAAGAAATTAATAAATTTACCCGTTGCAATAATCTAAATAAACTAATGTCTAATTGTTTTGCTTAAATATAAAAGTTTAATATTTCATTTTCTACGCATTATTGTATCTTTTCACCTTATATGTGTGTATATGTGTCTCACATGGTTTTCAGTTTTAATAGCAGTCATTCATTCTCTACTGTTCCACAATTCTGAATGTTTATTTACAGTGCTGAACAAAATAAATCATATACTTTCCACAAATTGAATTTGTTAATATTGGGTGTGTGAATATGACTCCGTCCTTTTTGTTAAAATAAAACACATTTGCTTGGTTAGAAAATTAAAGAAAAGTTTATTGAAAGTATGCTCCATCTGCAGCTATAACCTTCGCCCATCTTTCAGGTAATTTATGTATTCCTTGCCTGAAGAAGTTCTGGTCTTTTGAGCTGATCCAATTATCAAGCCAAATTTTGATACTTTCGTTTGAAGTGAACCGTTCTCCCGTAAGATCTGACTGCATCGTCCGGAATAAGTAGTAATCTGAAGGAGCTATGTCTGGCGAATATGGCGAGTGGAGTAGCACTTCCCAGTCCTGTCCATCTAAATATCTTTTCACGACTTCTGCGGTATGCGGTTTGGCATTATCATGCTGAAGATTTAATTTGCTGTGCCTATTCACCCATTCTGGCCGTTTTTCTTCTATGGCTCGCTTCAAACGCATTCGGATTGAGTTTGGCAACAATCCTCTGTCAATAATACTTCCAATTCAGCATCTTCAAATTTTTTTTGTGGTTTCCCATGTTCTCTGTCCTCAGTTCCAAAATTATTATTTTGAAATCGTCGAAACCATTCCTTACAAGTTGTATTAGATGGAGCATGATCACCGTAAATCTCCATAAGCAAACGATAAGTTTCCGCTGCACTTTTCTTTGCAATAAAATAGTGTAATAATACCTCCCGCAAATGATGTTTGTTTGGAACGAAAACCGACATTTTCAAGTAGGGTTAAACACTTGTTGCTTACACTTAAACCAAATTTCACATAGTGCGTTTGAAAGTTGACATGAAGTACTATCGAATACAAGTGTTGCCAGTTATTAGTACACGTTCACAATACTAAAAGCAACATCTGTTGGGAAAGGGCGGAGTCATATTCACACACCCAATATAACTATTATTTTAATAAAAGTTAATGACTATGTTGCCAGAAAAATGGAAAAATATCACAGCTAACGACGGAAAATATTTTGATTGATGTAAATTTAATCATTTCTTTCAAATAAAGATAAAAAAATTGACAAAATAAGACCAGAATTAATTCAACCTTCTAATATATAAATATATATTTCTGCTGCTCATAATGCCTTCAATTTGAGCCAATTCCCGATATCAGACTAAGCAAAACACCTCCATATCATGATATTACCACCTCCATGTTTTACATAACATACACATACGCGCGCACACATATCACCAGCACCACCACGTCTTCTAAATATTTATTTCTTTGAGAGCCTCACCAGGTTCTCACCACACCCTAGACCGCCATTTTTGTTCGAATAATTCAAACTTGATATCCTCAGATCATAATACTTTTTTCCAAAAGTCTAGAGGCATTTTCGCATACTTCTTGAAAATTTCGAATCGCTTTTTCTTATTTATTTTATTAATGAAGGGACGCTTTGACGCGAATATATTTTTCAGTCTAGTTTTTCTAAATCTGCAACGCACAGTGCGACTACTGGCAGTCAAATTCATCGATTCTACAATGTTTCTTGATGATAGCTTCGGATTGTTTTACCATTCGAACGATTCTGGTATCATCACGAAGAGTTATAACCCGCTTTCGATCTTTTCCGAGATAATTTGACCTAATCCCGAGATAATTTGCCCATGTTTCATATTTTTTTCCAAATATGCTGCACTGCTCTAATAGAAATTGAGTATTTATTAGCAATTATTATTATTGTGAAAGACTCATTCTATTGATTGCAAGTGACTAAATATCACATATCAAGAAAAATTTGCTTTCATTACCTCATTTTTGTTCATCATGACTATTATTGGTCCCTTATACATATAAATTCTAATCGTAGATACAATGAATCGTAGAAATAAACAATAGAATGACAAACAATATCGTAACAAATAATGAAATGTAAATATTGACAGTTCCCTACATTACACTATGTAAGTATATAATTTATTTTGTCCAGAGTAAAATATAATAACATTGAATAATAAACGTTTAATAAAAGAAATGAACACAATTTTTATAATTTCATATATTCTTTGTTCAAATACTATAAAATGTTTTAATTTTTCTAATAATCCATTTGCTTGTCAAAAAAATAGCTATACTAACAAATTTAATTTTTTTTGTTAATAACTTTTTAATGAACAATGAGCAACGGCTGCAACTCAGGAATATGTCCTTAACAACATATGTCAAGGTCATGGACTTTTCAGGAGGTTGTATATATGTATATTTACCGTTTTTCTTCTGAAAATTCTCTTTGGTATTTTGGAATGTGTTTAAACTATGTTTTGATTACTTTATTCACTCACACAACTAAACCATAATACTACACATACATAGTATTACACCAACACAGATTCTCTGGCTCCAAAATGGCGATCATGAGAGGACCTGACTTTGTTCCGTCCCTCTATTTACGAACCTTGGCATAAGTATGTCGGAGTTGTTAGTAGACAGTGGTAAAGAAATGCGCGGAGTGTAAAGGGTTAAAGAATAATTGCAAAATTGCTTATGATGTGTGTATTTATGTCAGAAATGTCTCTCTATTCCTTGATTCTGTTTCAACTGTTTTTTACTATCCTGACTAGTTTAGCCGTGGGTTTTATTGGATTAAATAACTAATAAATGTTACGTGTAAATGAATAATCCAAATTTGTTGACCAAATTCAAGATTTATTTTAAAAGAAAGTAAAATAAAGTTTTCAATCAAGATATTTCCCGTTGCTTTCGATAATTTTAAGCTATCTTTCGGATAGTTTATAAATTCCATCTCGGAAAAATGTTGTTTTTGGATATCTTAATATGATAAGGTATTCAAAATATATTTTTATTGACATCAATTTTTTATGATATTAAGTCATCATTTTCACATTTTGAAGAGATTGTATTATCAATGATTGATAATATCATTAAAATTGTGAATGAATCAATTTTAGCTTTTTAATCCATACGTTAATTCATCAAACTGAACTTTAAAAAAATAAGATGATCTAAATCGCGAAATTCTAATATTAGTTTGAAAAATCAATTTCATATTTTATTTTAGGATCGAAAATTAATTGAAATTGGAATACAATAAAATTAATAAAAATTTGAAAATTTTGGTCTTTTATTTATTTGTCGGTTTTCGAGAAATTATTTTTGGCCAAATTATATAAATACATGTTTTTTATTTAAACGTATTTTGCAAAAATTTTTGGCATATATTATTTTCTCACTAGTCGAAATGGCTGTGACGAAGAAACGGAAACTTTGATTAGTATAAAACATTTACATGTTGTTTTCGTGTAAATGAAACTGTGTAAATAAAATATATACGAATTTAATTGCATGCATCAAAATATAGTGAAGTAAAGAAAATATTTATAATAAATAATTCGCTTTATATAAAAGAAATAAAAATATTAAACAATTTTTAAACATAATATTTAAAAAATTTTGAATTATAGATAGTCTAAAGCTAACTAGTTTACATGATTATTATCAACGACTACTCCACGGTAGCCAGCCAATGCCTTCTGGTCTAGATGTCGCAAACACATTGAAGTATTTTTCTCAAACTTTGTTATGTAAGTATAAAATGTTGCCTGTTCCTCTTTCTCTTAACTATAATGATATTGCTGATCAATGATATTACTGTTATTATTAGGTGTACAAATGAATAAACCAAATTTTCTTTAAATAGTTAAGAAATCAATTTTAAAATCAATTGAATTTCCTACTTTTTTGCGGTGATATTGTTGACATACAGTTATTAAGAATGGTATTTAATATGGCGGTAAACTCAACATAATCTTCAAAAGTATTCAATTCAATAGAGTCAAAAATGGCAATAGATAAAGGTATCCGACACTGTATTCTTTACGAATTTCAACGAGGAAAAAATGCTACAAGAGCGTGCGAATTGATTTGTTTCTTTTTTCAACAAAAATATTATATCGTACAATGTGTACACATTTTGGTTTAAGTGGTTTAAAAGCGATGATTTTAGTCTGATCAACAAATAACGCCCTGTACTCCCTGTAGGCCCTCGGAAACGCAACAACGATGATTTGGAAGAATTACTTGCTGAGAATTCCGTACAAACGGAAAAAGAGCTTGCAAAACAGTTGAAAATATTGTAGCAAATCATTTTCAAACGCCTACATGAAGTGGAAAAGATCTAAAATGAAGGAAAATGAATTTCACGTAAACTCACTGAGGCCAAAAAATCAACGAATAGCAGCGTATCTTTCTCTTCTTAATAAACATCGACAAGGAAAATCGTTGGGGAAAATCATTATGGGCGATGAGAAATGAATATTCTATGACAATTCGAAACACAAAAAATCATAAATGAATCCGGCGAAACGTCAACATTGATCGTAACGCCCAATCGTTTTGGAAAGAAAGTTCTACTCTGCATTTAGTGGAATATCAAGGACGTGCTTTATTATAGCTGTTGGAACCGAGAAATATAGTTATTACTGACTACCAATTAATACGCTTAAGTCAAGGACTGGAACAAAAACGCCTGTATATTGGCAAAGGAAAACGTCTTATGAAATTGTTGCATATAACAACGCTAAGCTACATATTGCTTCTAAGACAAAACACACCATAGTGAATCTTAGCTGAGACGTTTTGTAATACCCAGCATATTCATTAGATATTGCTTCATCTGATTACCACTTGCTCCGGTTAACACGCCTTGTCCGATATGTACTTCTAACTGTACTATCAGTGAGTGAGATTCGAAAATGGCTTGATGGCTTTATCGTGTCCAAAGACACAACATTTTTCCGAGATATCAACTGCCTAAAAGATGGTTTAAAGAAAGGCGAATACTTTGATTGAAAAATTTGTTTTACTTTCTTTCAAAATAAATCTAAAACTCAAAATGAAAAATTTGGATTATTCATTTGTACACCTAAAAAATAATATCATCCATTTGAAATATATCAGTTTAATAATATATGAATCGATAGAGATGTGTACAATTAATGTTTCATTAAAACTCTTAAACATCTTGTAGCTTTGTTAAAAGAAGTATGTGAAGCGCCGTTCGAAATGATCAAATCGCAAAAATTCGATGGAGAACGAATGGCATTGTATCCTAATTTGGATTATAAACAACTTTACAACGCATTAACTCAGCTGATCGACGTAGTGCCATTAATACATATTGGTCTACAAGGTTTATTGTCGTTCTATCAAGACAGTTGAAATAAAAGTCAATACACGTTCAAATAATAAATTTAAATAGTTTTTAAATCGTTTTTAGCAGTTATATATCTTAGGATTTGTTATTCATAGCATTGTAGTTATTTACTTTTCTTTCAGGAAACTTTTTATAAAGTAACACTTATTTTCCAGCATTCGGGAAAGCTTTACTGCAATGTCTAGCCTGTCTATTACCTTTTCTCGATCACGATATGATAGACAATATACCGTATCTAGCCGCCAGTACAATATCGGTACTCCCCATAGAGCTTCATGAAGAAATCGTTAATTATCTTTGTTTTTACATTTTGCCGTTCACTATCAGTAAGTATGTTTTATTATATTATATTTTTGTCGGTTATTATTTTAATTATAACTGACCTAACTGATAATAGTAAGCATAGTTCTTAAAACGAGATTCAACTATATTGGTAAGTTATCAATATAGTGTAGTTATCAACGCAGCTTTGAAATGCTAATTTCAGAGTCTTCGTTGTAATATAATATTAGGTGTGTGAATTAATTTGGTTCATCTGGCGGTCAATTGCTGTACTATATAATTTTCTAACCTCTAATGTCTGCAAAAGGCTTTATCTTTTAGTTTTGATATCTGGCAATAATATTCAGTTGATAAACGTTTGGGTTTGTAACAATAACATCTAATTCGAAAATGTCGAAATTCGAGCTAAAAGAGCATCATTTCCGGGAAGTTCTCATTTTCTGTTTTCATTTGAAGCAAACAGCATCTGAAGCTCATCGAATGCTCGTAGAAGCTTAAAGGAAGTGCTCTCACTGATAAATCATGCAGATAATGGTTTCGACGTTTCAAAAGTGATGATTTCAGTGTCGATGACAAACCTCGTCCAGGTCAGCCGAAGAAGTTCGAGGACGAGGAATTGCAGGCGTTAATCGATGAAGATCCGTGTCAATCGCAACATGAGCTCGCGCAATTGTTGAATATTGATCGATCAATAATTTCTGTGCGTTTGGCAGCCATGGAAAAGATTTACAAAGAAGGAAGATAGGCTCCATACGAACTGAAAGAAAAAGACATCGAGAGGCGAAAAGCCATGTCTGAAATTTTGCTTGCCAGGCAAAAAAGAAAAGATTTTTTGCATCGTATTATGACTGGAGACAAAAAGTGGGTATATCTCGATAATCTCAAACGAAGGAAATCCATTAGCGACCCAGGGAAACCATCCATATCGATACCAAAGCGGAATATTCACGGCAAGAAAGTAATGCTCTGTATATGGTGGGACCAGAAGGGTGTAATGTATCATGAACTATTAAAACAGAGTCAACCATCACTGCCGAACTTTACCAACAACAATTGATTCGTTTAAACAACGCATTGAAGAATAAGCGGCCGGAATATGCAAAGAGACACGATAAAGTGATCTTCCAGCACGATAACGCTCGACCATATGTTGGAAAGATTGTGAAGGCCACATTGGAAGTACTTGGCTGAGACGTTTTAGCTCACTCGCCGTATTCACCAGACATTGCTCCATTCGATTATTACTTATTCAAATCGATGGCACACGGGCTTTCGGACCAGCACTTCAACAATTATGAAGAAATAGAGAAATGGCTCAATGAATGGATCGCTTCGAAGGACGAGTCGTTTTTCCGTCACGGAATGCAACAACTGCCAGACAGATGGGAAAAAATAATAACAAGCGATGACAAATACTTTGATTAATGTACTTTTTCATGTTTTTTCATACTAAAGTCTTTTTTTGGAAGAAAAACGGACTGAATTAATTCACACACCTAATATTATTAAACATTATCTTTTAATTATTGCAATACTATCAAATTTTATAATCAATACTTACTCGTTATATCTATGTGTGCGTTAAAGAATTAAATTAAATACTTTTTTTATCATTTTTAGCAAGAAAAATTGAAATTGGTGATGAAAATTCTGCTAGTCAATCAGTGGCCGCTGTTATAATGATGATTTTTCAGTATTCCAATAACCCAGGTATATATACATATATATATATATATATATGTGTATACAGTTTGATAAAAAAACATTTTAACAAATTTTATAAGATAGTAAAGTATATCGAAATTAGCAATTATCAGTTGATAAATCATATCAGCATACATCTAACTTCCCAAACATTGAGAAAACATAATTGAGAAAGCATAAGCTAATAAAAATATGAAATAGAAACATTCTTACAGCGCATCATTGCCAATTGTTGGAGTGTCTGATGGCCTTGAAGCCGGGAGTTGTAAAGGATATACTCTGTGTAATCGCTTATGGTACCGCACCAGCAAGAGCATCGGCTGCAAAATTACTTTTCTATTATTGGCCATCGTTCAATCCAAATCTATTTGATCGCCGTGCTGTATTGGTAAAATTTACTAGTAGGTACATTAAATACATGTCGCATTTTAGATTTTTAAAGCGCAACATGTTAATTACTGATGTGAAAGCTGTTGAATTATCATTGATTATTGTAATATTAGACTATTAAACTATTATTTATATTGTAGACGATCTTACTCCGTTTGTATGTCAACGGGATAGCTGCCCGAATGCCGGAAACGCAGAAGCTGGTAAGGTTTGCTATGATCATCGCATATCTATCACTTTCGCTACCGAATCTCCGCCGCCGCTCTATTTATGTATCGAATGCGCGAATGAAATTCATCGGGAACATCCGAATCAAATGTTCTACGATATTTTGCATCCGATGCAACAAGTGTCTATGATTTGTGAAAACAAGGTGAGTGTGTGATCCGTAACAGTTTGTGGACTGCACGATTGCAATCGTTTCGTTTGAATATTTGAAAAACTTCAATATAATATTGATTAATGTCAGAATTGTAGAGCAGCGGACAAATCAGCCATTAGCATTTGCTTTTCGACGGAATGCGCAAGTTATAACGGAAATCATCCTATACGTTATTGTCAACAATGTCATAACATCCGCCATAACAATCGTCGCGGCGGCGATCACGTTTACCATACGGCACTCCCGCATCTTTCGCAGCTGGATTCGCAAACGCAGACCTATATGGTCCAAGCAATTGTCAGGTAAAACATTTTATCTATCAATGAGTATATTTTGTTGCTTGGTTGGTAAAGCTCAGTTTGAGTACGGTCCTTTCATCTTACAGTTTGCTTAAGGAAGCCGAGTCGTTAAATATTGATAATAGGGAGATGATGGAGTTAAGTAGTAGTACCAGTAATAAGGGCGGTACAGGATTCTCAGGGGGTGGAAGTGGCGGAGGTAATACTGGTGGTATGGGAAGCACGTTTGGTGGTCACTGTGATCCCACGAGCTTGGAAGAACGCCAATTACTTGGCAGATATGGCGTATGGTTGCTCGTGGGGCTTTGTACCCCAAATGAAGATACCCCAGTTGAAATACTGGGCCGTTTATTATCAATGTTATTTCATTGGTTTCATGTCACTGCCTACTCTTTCGATGGTACTAAAAAAAGTCTTATGCACCTTATCTTTTCTGTTGGTAATTTAACACTTTGCATATACACTTTACTCAAGTAGACGTAGTTAAATATAGTTAGATGGTAGAGTGGAATCGGTTAAATATGTATAATATATATTATAAGTTTCCTTTTCTTTTTCATAATTATTATAGTACTATATAGGATATATCTGAACTGTATCAACTCACACAGAGGATAGAATCTACATAAAAATATTAATAAATAAACTTTAGTAAATATATGTTCTCAAATATTTAATTTCTGAAATATAACAGCGATCTTAATTTAAAACAAAATCTTAATTAAAAAAAATTTTTTATTAAAAAAATTTATTTTTTTATTCATTAAATCGCGTTTTATGTTTTAGTTCTTTTTAATATCTTTCATAGTTTTCGAAATTTTTTACCTGTTACGTTTGAAATTTAGCATCCTGTATACTGTTAAAAAATTATTCAAAATTGCTGACATGTCCATAAACTCCTTAAAAGTGTAGGTATTCTTGATATCAAGGGGAAATAATACGTTTTCTTAATTTCATTGGCAATAAAGAATAACAATATATAACGTTCCAATGGATGATTTTTTATTAACATTCAGAAATTGTCAAAAGTGATAGATATGGTCTTCAAAAACGGATAAAAATGTGTTGTATTAATATTCTTAATTATTATAGTATTCTTAACCTGCTGATCGTGATACATTTTAATACTTTTATTACTTTTATCTTCTGAAGCATATATCTCAAAAACTAAGCTTCCATGGACATACGAGTACAATATATTTACTAACACTTTTTTTATTCATTTTTCAACATAACATCTGTCCTATAAATTTGTCGACAAAATTCAGATGCATCCTCTATGTATACGTACATTAAATACCTTATAATATGTTTCAGTTAAATGTTACGAAATACTTAAATATAAAAGCTGTTTTGCTTAAACAGGTACTAAATTTGATTAAAAATTGAAAATACTTAACCGAATTTACTCCACTCAATAGATTAGATTTGTAGAAGAAATATTAATTCGAGAATTTATTTCAAAATTTGCACGCAACATATTGAACATACCTGCACACGACGTAACACATATTTCGAGTGATTAAATGTTCTTCTTCAAAGAGAGCTTTTGCTGTACTGCACGATAAATTCCGAAACAATAAATGTCAAATTTATTGATGTTTGTGTGCGTTCATTGTGTTCTATGTAATATTCAAATCAGTGATATAATAATTAATCACTGGCGTTCTCGAATCAATTTTAACAATTTTCTTTTATTATAATAAATTTTTCGATTGCTCGTAAATCTTTCAGGTCAAGCGGAAAGTGCTCTCGAGAAATTAAAAACTGAATATGTTTGTGGTTGGCTTTCGGAAGTTATGAAAACGCATTATGAAGTATTCATTTCTTGTCTTCTGCCGCATCCAGCAGATTACGTCAGAGTTGGAGGCCATTGGTGAGAGTTTTCTATTTGTTCTTATGATAAATTAATTTTTTCCTTAAAATTATACAATTCAAATAAATATAAATAAATGAAATTATACCCGGGAAAAAAAAATCATATATGAATTTTGTCCATGCACATACAGAGAGAGATATATATACAGGATGTATAACAAGTACCGGGATGGCGAAATATCTCGAAAACTATGCATCTTAGAAAAAAATGTTTCAAACAAAAGTTGTACGATTTCAAGGAGAACATAAAACAACTATCATTTTGTTTACAGATGGCGACACTTTCGAGATATTTACTGACCATTACTTTTCTTAAATGGAAATCTGAATTTTTTATTATATAGAACACTACAAGCGCGCGCCATTTTAGCTTATTCATATTAAAGTTTGGAATAAATATTATAAATCATAAAAATAATCCCTGTAGTGTAATATAAGTTTAATAATATTCGACTCCAACATACGATGTATTAGGCGCATACAGTTTGAAATTCCATGACATATTTTCTGCATAGTAACGCGTAACCGTATAATCAATGAATTTCGACGTTTAACATTTCTATTCCAAACCATCTTGAGTTCTCTTCAGATGCTATATGCATCGTTCTATTGGCTAAAAAGCATTTGAAGATAAATTCAAAACGGTCCTGAATATAGAAGCTGACTTTCCCTTCCCTCTTCCTCACTCCTTCCTCCCTCACCCTTCTCTTCAATCACCCTATCTCTCCCCCTTTCCCCCCTCTCCCTCCTTCCCTCTCTCCATCACTCTATCACTTTCCCTCACTCTTTCTTTTTCTCTCACTCTTTCTTTCTCTTTAACTCTCACCCTCCCTCCCTCCCTCTCTCTCTCTCTCTCTCTCTCGCTCTCTCTCTCTCTCTCTCCCTGTCTCTCTCTATCTTTTCCTGTCTCTCCCTGTCTCCCCCTGTCTCTCCCTGGCTCTCCCTGTCTCTCCCTGTCTCTCCCTGTCTCTCCCTGTCTCTCCCTGTCTCTCCCTGTCTCTCCCTGTCTCTCCCTGTCTCTCCCTGTCTCTCCCTGTCTCTCCCTGTCTCTCCCTGTCTCTCCCTGTCTCTCCCTGTCTCTCCCTGTCTCTCGCTGTCTCTCGCTGTCTCTCGCTGTCTCTCGCTGTCTCTCGCTGTCTCTCGCTGTCTCTCGCTGTCTCTCGCTGTCTCTCGCTGTCTCTCGCTGTCTCTCGCTGTCTCTCCCTGTCCATCCCTGTCCATCCCTGTCCATCCCTGTCTATCCCTGTCCATCCCTGTCCATCTCTGTCCATCTCTGTCCATTCCTGTCCATTCCTGTCCATCCCTGTCCATCCCTGTCTATCCTTGTCTATCCCTGTCTATCCCTGTCTATCCCTGTCTATCCCTGTCTATCCCTGTCTATCCCTGTCTATCCCTGTCTCTCTCTCTCTCTCTCTCTCTCTCTCTCTCTCTCTCTCTCTCTCTCTCTCTCTCTCTCTCTCTCTCTCTCTTCACCATCTTCGATATATTCGAGATTGAGGTTCCACGCACCTTTTTTGAAAGATATCCCCTGATACAAAAACTGTCATCCAGCTGTCATCCCACGCGATGACAGCCGCAAACGACACGAAGCTGGCCGCAACGCGACTTCGAGACGGCCAATTAGCATCGCGGAAAAGAGGCTTCGATAAGAAATACATTCACAATGTTAACATGCGTTTTTTATTAAAGGGATCATCTTCTTCTATTCCAATTAAATTAAACAAATTTTGTCTGAAACATTTTTTATTTGCCTAATATTTTTTTAGATATTTAAGAAACACGTAGTAATCTTTTTAATATTTAATTTACAATATCTTGCTAACTATTTGTTGGAAGAAAAAATGGTACTACACGTTTTTATTCTATTTGGTCTCAAAAATATACTGTCACAATAGCATCCTGACTTTTATTAATTTGATGATTTTGAAATTTCCAAAGGTCAATAAGTTAATAAAAGTTAAAGCACTATTGTAACAATATATTCTTGAAACAAACACTTTCGACAAATAGTTAGCGAGATATCACAAGTTAAATGTTGAAAAAGTTACCAAGTTATCCTTAAATATCTTAAAAAATATTAAGCAAATAAAAAAATGTTTTTACCAACTTTTTTTACCAATCAATTTGAACGATTTTCGCAAACTAAATAAAACACTATCACTAAACAAAATGCTATCACTGTTTTATGCCCTTCTTTAAATTAAACAACTTTTGTTTTAATAATTTTTTGTGCCTTTAATTTTATTATTAATTAAATAATTTTTTGTATTTTTAATTTTCTAATAAATAATTAAGTGTATCCACTTAAATCAGACACACTGTATAATCATATAATTTTATATAATTAGGTTGCGCGCACAACCTATTTTATTTTCGCATGTCGCGATCTTCCGGATGTGTGAACGCGAATCATTATTCATCGTGTGTTGAGAACGGAGGAAATAATATATATGATTTTTATATTTCAGATATACAGGGTGTCCCATAACTTGTTACGAGGAATTCGTGGAGACAGAACAGATTAAGACAAAGATAAAAGTCCAATATTAATTTGCGATATTTGCAATAATTATCGATTATTATTAATTATAGGAATCTGACAAACGTGCGCCGAAATGGTATTGAAAGAGCATTTCAGCCGCTCGGGCATGACATCGGCAACAATGCTAGATCGACTGGGCCGCGCTATGGCTCGAGCGACTGTAATACTCCTCCAATATCATCTCCGTCTGCGCTTATTCGTCAAATTTCTATACTTAATAACTCGACAATTATTGCCAATAACGCAAAATAGTACGGCACTTTTATATTTATCTTAATCCGCTCCATGTTTGTACGAATTTTTCGGAACAAGTTATGGCACTTTATATATAACTTATGTTTGTATATAACTTATATACAAATATGTTATATTATGTAAAATTATGTTAATTATGTTATAATATTAAATTATAAAATCGATTAGATCATTTCACAAATAAGTTTATCATTCTAAAGGGAAACTTTGGCTTCGCGAACATCGCATTTAAAAGACGGCCTAAATCGTTTATTTTGTTTGGTACCATACGAAGTAATTACGCCCGATGTGTGGGATTATGTAATGCCACATTGGATGGAAGCAATGGTGAATGACGTTCCCGAACACGAGCTTCACGAATTAAAAATAATATTATGGTAAGTATATCCAGAGTTTGAAAAATTTTTAAACATAAAAAATCTCTCCAATCATATAGTATTATTACGATAAAACAAATATTTTAAAGATTCTTGAAGGATTTAAGACATATTGAAAAAAAAACAACAGAAAATATATAGACAATTATTACTTATTTTATATATACAATTATTATAAATAGAAGGAAAATTAATCAAAATCGCCAAATAATTGGAACATTACTCCTTCCTTTAAAAAGTAATTTAAGTAATGTTAATTTTTCTAGGAAAATATTTTTCACATAAAATATTGCGTAATATTTTAATATTGGTTAATTTTCGAAATTGAAGATATATATATTAATGGTCCTGTTTATAATATGTTGAAATATTATTATCATTATATTAAATAAAATATTATATACAAGGTAGGCCATTTTAATCTACGCACTGAAATCTCTCAAAATCCATAAGTTTAAGACAAAAATGTTTCAGACAATAGTTGTATGGTTTCGAGGAGGCCATAAGAGGGTACCATAGGTTTGACCTTGAAGAGTTATTTGAAGGTCACATGAAGGTCACGTTTAATTTCTTGAATGGAAAACTATATTTTTTATTACATATTTTTATAGCTGACTTCGAGAGCTTTCCAAAACACTATAATTAAATGTTTTTCCGTGAGGTACTTTTCCAGTTATAAAGCTTCAAAGCAGTATTTTGACCTTAAAATACGATACCTTATGTATGTTGTCATGTTATGGGGTCAAGTTGACTCTTAGGGATCATTCCAAAGTCCAAATCAACTTTTCACCCAAATCTCTGTAGTTATGTATGTTATGCATCAAAAAATTCGAATCATTCTACTTTTAGCGCTACCCAGGAACAACGACGTGGACGCAGTAGAATTCTGTTCCCTTTAAAGTGCTTGATTAACGTGAGTCCCTTTACCTCTCATGATTCGGGGTGCTGAATTAACGTGAGTCCCCTTGCTTCTCACGATTCGGGGTTAGGGTTTCAACTTGACCCTATAATATAACAACACAAATAATTGTTTGAACGACTGAGCCAAGCTGTGTGCAGGCAAAAGTTGATAAATCGTACTTAGGACCCTTAATCATTTTGTTATTTTTATTTACATACTAAGCACTATCCGTATTTCTAAATTTACAGTATTTTATAAATTCGTATTACAGCAAAATATTGGATCCTGATATGAGTCCTTTAGGATTTGACGCGAAGAAGATGTATAATTTCGTCGCGAAGCGATTTGTCAATACGAGTGCAAAAGTGCAAGAACAGGCTCTTAATTGGTTACAAACACTTACGATGCTAGAAATAATGATACCACTTGGCCAATTATTTTCAATATTTAGCGACGGAGTCATCGTCATGCAATCGATGAATTCCGCAGAATCAGAGCTAAAACCAAGCAAGTCCACAAAAGATTGTGATGGTAACATTACATGTGCGTAATTATTGACATCGAACTTTCCATTCTTCTATAATATATAATTAAATTTTTAAATGTCATTCTATGATATATAAATAAATATTAATTCACAATTGAGTATTTTTTCGAAATATCCTACAGGTCCTGTTGTCGAAAACGAATCTGGCAAGTCAACGCCACTTTCTGACGATATGGCACCAACGCCAAGGCACATGGAATTTATGACAAACGCTGAATTAAATTTATCCTGCTGTATTCTTATGCTTGACATACTATTGAAACAAGTGAGGCGGAAAGTTCTTCTAAATTTTAGTTTAGAATAAAATTAATATCCATAGAATAATTATACCATTATTGAGGATTTGAAGTTTAATATATTATATTTCGATGAACTTAAAAATATAGTGTGTGTCTAATGGAAGAATTTTTTTATATAATTCTTAAAAAATGTTTTCTTACTGGAAGTTAAATGTTTTCTAAATATTTTTTCATTTCCATTCTTAAAAAAAAAAAGATTGGAATTCTGTCTGTTCTTCGAACAATTTTAAAGTTCTTAATCTACTAGAAATAGTTTTGACATTTAAAATAACCAAAGTATAATTTAAAAAAAGGAGACCCAACTTCCAAAGTTCTTATTTCCCTTACGGAGAAAATACTTAAATATTGAATGTTTACACTCAGTTTATACTCAGTTGTTCGAATTTACGAGTTTTCTATAAATATTTTTTAAAATTTACTCTCAAATGTAAGTATATATTGAAATTTAAGAATATATTTAAGAAATTTCCGAATATACCCACATTTAAGAATAAATTCAAACAATTAAGTGTAAACACTCAATATTTGAATTTCTTTTCCATAAGGATTGACAAAAACCAAAAATTTTATAAATTCTGGAAAGAGATACTAAATAGTTTTAAAGTTTTCTATAAATATTTTTTTTAAATTTTACACATCCAAAAATTAATTTAAAATTAATTTAAAATTAATTTAAAAATAAAAACTAAAACGAAAAATAGTTAAAACTTCAACTTCTGTCTACATTTCTTTGAATAATAAGAATAATTGTTCAAGCTAAGGAAATAGATAAATTTCTGAAAAATTTACCTCGTAAGAACTTTAAAAGTTTTATATCTGAAATACAAAAATATAACAGAACATTTATGTTTTAGTTTTATCGCCCTTCAAGTCTTGATAGTAATTATTGAAATTTAGGGAATTACTAAAAACTTATGTTCAAAATTTCTTCAAGATTTTAAAAAATTACCATTATTTTAGATAAAAATATAAAGTTGATAACTTCTTTTTGTTCAAATGACAGTTTGCATGCTTCAACCATCATAATCAGAACTTTATAAAATAGATTAAAAACCCAAACTCTTTAGGCCAGAATTGGAGACGATCTGCATATTTCGGGCGAAATTCAAAAAGTGACACCGTCCCCTTGCCACCGCTCCGCGCTCAGCGATCCAGGCGACGATTGCGCTGCGTTTAGGTCCGTCGCTGTACAAGAAATCAGCTGAAGCATCGCCCTCGCGTCATACTATCATTAAAATTTTTACTATCATTAAAATTTTTTCCTCGTTTAATAATCACTTAAAAATATATATATTTATGCATAATTTATATATATATATATATAAATTTATGCATAATTTATATATATATATATAAATTATGCATAAACATATATATTTTTAAGTGATTATTTTTAAGTGATTATTAAACGAGGAAAAAACTTTAATGATAATATAACGCGAGGGTACGCTTCAACTGATTTTTTATAGAGCGACGGATCTGAACGCATCGCGATCGTCGCCTTGGCCGCTGAGCGTGGAGGGGTGGCAGGGGTACGGTGGGCTCTTAAATTTCGCCTGAAATGTACAGATCGTCTCTAGCTCTGCTTTAGGCAAACAGAATTCTAATTACTTTTTTCAAATTTTGACAGTAAAACATTAGTATATATATAAGTATTAAATTTATATCTGCAATTGTATAAGAATATAGTAACGAAAATTTTGAATTTGATCCAGATGGAACTTCAGGGCGTGGATAAACATACTGGAATCAATACATGGGTTTGTCAGGACGCTTGCCATTTAATGAAATCCATAGTTGCGTCAAACTGGAATAGCTATCATACATGTAACGTTTCGGATATTGAATGCACTTATTGCGAGTCAAGAGTGATTTGGCACCAGCTATGTCTAGAATTGATCACTTATATAGTACCGGAAAATCCAGCATATCCACCCGATGTCAGTTTATTCAATTAATAGTCTAGTTTCACCCTTTAAGCGCCACACTCACCACTTAATATTATTTGTTATATCTCATTAAACGTAAACAATATGGGTTATTTTGCCTATATTCATGAATGCCTATATTCATACTTTAAAAATTTTCACTTTATTTGTAACTTCAAAATGTGTAATATAAATACAAGGTGGTTTAAATATGACCGGGACTGATTTTTTTTACCAAATCCTTTATTGTTAAATATATATTTACATATGTCACCTTTCAAAGTACTCCCCTCTAGAGTATAACATTTTTCCAACGTTTTGGAAGCATCCTAATGCCCTTTTCATAAAAGTCTTTCGATTTGCTGCGTATCCACTCCCGAACAAAATCGATGACGACGTCGTTATCCGCAAACCGCATGCCTTTCAAGTCTGACTTAAGCCTTCCAAACAGGTAGAAATCACTTGGGGCCAAATCGGGACTGTACGGCGGATGTGGCAGAAGGTCCTATTTCAATTAGCTTAAGTCAGACTTGGAAGGCATGCGGTTTGCAAATAACGACGCCGTCATCGATTTTGTTCGGGAGTGAATACGCAGCAAACAAAAAGACTTTTATGAAAAGGGCATTAGAATGCTTCCAGAACGTTGGAAAATATGTTTAGACTCTAGAGGGGAGTACTTTGAAGGGTGACATATGTAAATATATATTTGACAATAAAGGATTTGATAAGAAAAATCAGTCCCGGTCATATTTGAACCACCTTGTATAACGAATTAGGTACAGTTGTTTATATCTATCATAGTCAAAATAAGTTCTTATAACTATTTTAACAAATAAATTTTAAAAACTTGGCACGTGAAGGATTAATTATTTAGGCAATGTGGTCCAAATATTTATGCTCATAGCAATATTTTGATTTATTTAATTATTTTCTATTTTAAAATATAAATTTAAAATAGAGATGAACAATAGAATAAAGATAAATAATTGGAGGAAAAATTTACATTATATTTATTTTTTTCCAGACAATAGTGGACGAAACCGCGGACGATCATGGTCGCAAAGGTTCTCCGGAAACAACAAAAAAGAGCGACTCAAAACCTGATGTAGTTATCAATATGCCAGTGCCAGAAATGCATTCTGTTGGCGGCGTTTTAGTTCATATGCCACATGTATGTTATTTAACAAGTAAATTAATTTAAATTCCTCATGTTCATAACACGTATTTAATGTTTGTCCCATAAAAAGCTTTTACAATTTTATCGAAAAAAGATTTCATGTCGTACAATGAAACGAACGTTAAAACACATTTTTATCGTCGTTACATATATATTACACAATCCATTGTTAATGAAACAGCATGCTATTTAAACAGTTTCAATCGTATATGTATCCATGTGTGCTTCTTCTCTCTGTCTCTTCTTCTACGGCCTGATCACAAAACACGGTAGGCTAATCTATGTCATTGAAATAGCTATCTTGATCGTTTATATCAGTTCTTCGAACAGATCATGACAGCAACAGTAGAGACAGTTTCGGAACAGCTGGATCTTGCAGCTATCATGCCCACAGAGAAAGTCATGTCAGCCGTTGCGAGAACAGTTACATTGTCAGAAACAGACGTCGGTAAATAAATATTTTTTTTGCAATTGCTTGATAATGTGCAATAGCCTTTTCGGCGTTACAGCGCTATAGCGCTACAACTAATGACTATCTGTAGTTTTCTTCGTCTCGAAGAAATACTCGTATTTGATTAACAGATCAGATTCTATAGTTCATTTTTACTGTCAAAGACCTTTGTGTAAAAGCATAATTTTTACAAATACATATTCTTAGCTACTGCAACGGTGAGCGTGGCAAAACCTTATTTGATAGGCGAAAACGATGAACCTGTGAACCTAAGCCCGGAAACTGAGTTAGACAACTTCTGGCATACCTCTGTGGGAAAATTCCGTTTTACGATAGAAGAATTACCGGAATATCTTCAATATATACACAAACTATTAAAGGTATAAAAATATTATATTAATGATTAAAGATATACAAATAATGATTATATTAATGATACAATTATATCAATAATGTTGCAAATCATAAAATTATCGGCTTTAAAATTACAAGGCAAGCATTATAAAAGCATCAAAATTATAAATATAATTACTAATAAAAATTATTAGTTCTCAGTTGAGAATTATTTTTGATAAAAATATATTTTATAGGAAATAATGACAATTGACAAACCTGACATATTGTATTACATGCTACAGTGTTTGAATGTATTGTGCTTGTATGGTGATGCGTTTAATACAGCGGTGAAAGACCACCAAGGATTTTTTATATGGTGTCAAGAAAATTTATTAATAAGAAAGTACGTATTTTAAATCTTAACATAAAATGTTAGAGGTAAGCAATAATAGGAAAATATATAAGAAATAAAATTTAATAAAAGCTTTTTTAATTGTTATAGTTTTAATTGTTATAGTTTATGGGAGCTTTTAAATGCTGAACACTCGCACATAGCGCAAGTGACTGTCCCGCTATTATTGCATTGCGTGACGTTACCTTGCGGCACTGACACTTTTTGGCGACTCGTGCAAGAAGAATTTCATAATTCCGATTGGCGCGTTAGATTCGTCGCAGGTAATCGCATATTAGTTTAATCTTTCTTCGTAAGCTGTTATCGATAAAAATATTATTTAATTTTAATTTAAAATATAAAAAATAAAAGAGAACACTAGAAATATTATTTTGCCGTTTCATTTCATATAAAATAATGAAAGTTTTGGAATATTTCAGTCGAACGTGTCACGTTAATTGCAAGATTTATGGATTCAACACCGTTACGAAACATAACAAGTCTGCAAGCTGCACTAGCGAATGCATTTTGTTATTTAATTACAAGTATGGACGACAACAATGTTTACGTTGCACAACGTGCAACTTTATATCTTGGTACTATTCATGATACAGCAATCAGAGTAAGTATTACTTTCTCAATTCAATGTAAACCACTTCAGCGAATACTTTATATATTATATTTATATAATTATTCTTCTATTAGTCATTAATTTTATGCCTGGAGACACAATTTGATTCCGTTATCGTGGATCGTCCGATGGTATTGCAATCACTTTACCAACTTCATAATAGTCTAAGTGATCGACGTATTTTAACTTGGGAATTCTTTCTAAATCGATTCGATACGCTATTTCTTGAAGCTCAGATCAATTTGGAGAAGTCGGGAGATATAGCTTACTTGCGCGGTCAGTTACATACTTATATATCCTATTATATTAAACTTTGTATTAAATACATTTACGAAGCATACTATCATTAAATAGTCTTTTCTATTATAGATTTAAAAAATACGGATCTGAATAGCGAAGTATTCATGAAGAAATTACATCGCGCGCATGAAGCATTATCCCAATCTGACGGTAGTGGCACAAGTTCTGTAAAAACGTTAAGCGCAAGTTTTGGCACGAAGTGGCCTTATAAGCGTACAATGTCTGCACCAGCTTCGATGATACCTCGACAAGATACCAAGCAAGGTATATATATTATATTCACCTTCATGCCCCTATCACCTTTCTATGCACTCTAGTCCATACCTCGTACACTATGTGTTACTTTTTTCTCGTTTCCCGCATCCTTTATGCAGAAAAGGAAAAAGTGTACAGCCGACAATATTCTGCGCCCATCTTAAAAAGGAAGAGCTCGAGATTCGGACTGGGTCAGTTGTTAGGGTCTACCCCGTCTAATAACAGTATCCCAGGTAGAGTAGTGTGTTTGCCTGCGTAGTTGGTAGACGATGATGAATGTGTACGTGCAAAAATGTTCGTTCGTATTACACGGTCCATTAAAGGGATGTTAAAGCATTCTACAGCAAGTGGATCGCTGGTAAATACGTTCGCGCGATAAGTAAGTATGCAGAATCATCAGTAGACATTAGTAATGATTGATAATATGCAGGTTGTAAACAAATATATAATATTCATTATAAGTTTAAGTAAATATAGGAGAGAAAAGGAGAGAGAAGCTTTTATAATTCATTATTACTTTTTTCTTTCCTTTTAGAAATATATATCCAGAAATGTTGCGTTTCCGTGCCACATATTGAAATATAATAGATTTCGACCATATGTCGTGCGATAGGCAAGTGTAATGCTTGCGACGGAGCTGATACTTTGGACAATTTTTATAGATTAGAAATTTAAACATCAAACTATTCCAATACAAATATAACTGGAAGCAAATAATCTAATAGGACTAAATAAAACTGTGCAAAAAATTGTTATTGCACAGATTACAGATGGAATCTTTTCATATTTGTAGTACGAAAACACATTTTATTAGGAGCAAATATCTGGAAACAAGATATATCCAGGCATGTGTTCCTAATAAAATATAAATTAATTATTAGGTTTAATTATTAGTTAATTCTTTCCGATGAATTCCGATTTACATAACTCAGAGCAAAATTTGAAATTGAAATATTCTCTCTCTCTTTTGCGGTTTTAAAATATTGATATTTAATTTTTCTAAATAGACATATGGTTTGGCGTTTGATGGACCTCAATAATCAATAAATAATCAAATAGTGTTCACGATGGCTATCAACAAAAAATATATTCGATACGCGATGCATTTTTGCATTTCATTTAAGTAAAAACGCTTCTGAAGCAGCCAAAATGATTTGTGTTCATAGTGAAAATGTTGTGACCGATCGCACGTGCCAAAACTGGCTTGAACGCTTTTGAAGTGGTGATTTTGATCTTCATGACCAACTACACTCTGGTCAGCCAAAAAAATTTGAAAACGAGGAGTTGCAAAATCTGCTGAATGAAAATACAGTACAAAGACCACAAGAACTTGCAGAAAAGCTGGAGTAAGCCAGAAAGCATCGCGAATTTGCAATCGTTTACATTATATAGAAAAGATACGAAAAAAAGGAAGTGGGTTCCACATGAACCATGGACAATAAAAATCATCGATTGACCACATACATTATCTCGCTCACGAGACAACAAAAAACATTTTTTTGCACAAAATTGTAATTGGTGATAAAAAATTTGGCTTCATCAGATTTTCACTTGTTTCGATCGATGCAATACGTACTATTTGATATACATTTTTCGACAGTTGACGATGTACGAAATTTCATCGATGATTTTATAGCCTCAAACCAAATTTCTATCGTGGGATTCGGCAACTGCTGAATAAATGGCATAAAGTCATCGATAACAACGGACAATATTTCATTGATTAATCTTATTCTATAAATTTTTAAATAAAGATTAAAAATTGTCGAAAATCGGAAAGAATTAACTATTAGACCTTATATAATCTCCTCATGTGCCTTGAAAGTTTATAGTGAATATCTATTTACACCCTATATAATATCTTATCTATATAATATAACTTATCGACCTTTGGAAATTTCAAAATTATTAAATTAACAAAAGATACTATTATAGTGATATATTCTTGATAGTAAATAAAGTGAAAAAGTCTAATACTATTTTTTTTTCGACGAATAGTTAGCGAGATATCGTAAGTTAAATGTTGAAAAAGTTACCAAGTTTTCCTTAAATATCTCAAAAAGTATTAAGCAAATAAAAAAATGTTTCAGACAAAAGTTGTTCAAATTAGTTGGTAGAAAAAGATGATATAATAAAAAATTGGGATTTCTATTTAAGAAAATTGATGATCAATGAATATCTCGAAAGTGGCGCCATTTATAAACAAAATACTATCACTGTCTTATGTCCCCCTTCAAGCCGAACAACTTTTGTCTGAAACATTTTTCGATTTAATACAGTGTTTTTGAGATATTTGAGTGGGTCCTTTAAAATGGGACATCCTGTATGATCCACCTAACTTTATTTACATAACCACTTGTTGTAAAATGTAGCATTTAGCATTAGTATCGAATAATTTATAATCATAATTCAATGTTTGGTGAACAGACACTCCGTGAGAAATTTGTTTTCTACGTAACTCGACCTAGCAACTGTTGGCGGCGTGCGGCGAGGTGCTCATGTCCTTACTTCGCCGCTCCTACGTCGCGCCGCACCGCGTCTAAGCTCGCGCCGATATGACCGCTAAATATTCGCGATTACAATTATGAGATTATTTCATGAGGTGTTACAGATAGCTCATATTGAACTATAAAGTTCATATTGAAATATAAAGTTCAAGGTTCAAGAGTTCTTTGATCAAGGAAAACATCGAAAAAGAGAAAGCGATAGAGAGCGATGAGATATCTACAAAGATTCTTATTGTTTTCTATCGCAATCTATCGTTTCGCTGTATTGGATCCGAAAAAAATGATATTGCGTAAAGATAGAATACGATGAACTTTTTTCATCGTACTCTATTGTACTCTATCGTTAGGAGAATATTTAATTGTTAGAGTATGATAGAATTCGCGTAGAGACTCATTGTGTCCTGTCGTTTTATTCAAGTCTACAAGAAGAAAAATGTTTGGTGGAATGAACTAATTTTCTGGCAAAATGAGAGAAAAAGAGAGAGAGAGAGAGAATCATTTGTCAAGAAGTGTTTTATTTAGAAATAAAGAGCACGTATAAAAAAAATCTCTTAATTTTCTATGCATAACAGCATATTTGAAAAAGAACAAAACCAGGGAGAGAGAGAGAGTGTGTGTGTGTGTGTACGTGTGTCAGACAGTCGTAACTGTTATTAGAGTATATTTTTCCACATTGTGCAAAAATAGCTTTGGATTGGTGCAAGAACCTTTTTTCTTATATATCGCTTTAACTAATATTTGAAGCCAAATATAGTTATACGCATGCTTTTTTTTGTTTGCATAGCTTATTTATTGTTAATTCCTTCAATCATGAACTATTAGGTAAATTAGGTGAATTTATAAATAGTATTTATTGAATTATAATTAATTTGTTAACTTTATTCTCCCTCTTTAGCAAAATTTTGGATTTATAAAAATAAATTAATATTAGCAAACGTTACAGATGGTCATATACATTCATTAAACATGGTCGACGAGGCTAGCACATTACCAGGATATACTCACAAAATCGTGGATCTTGAAGAAGCGGATAAAGAAACGATGCACTTGCTAGTATTTCTCTTAATGCAATTTCTTTCAAGACAAGATCAGGTAAATTATCTATCCGTTTTAATCGTAAAATATTTTTACACAACAAAATATCCAACTAAACCGAATTTTCTGTATAATGTACAGAATATCACGCCGTGCGTGAATTGAATAGAAAAATCATTTACCATTCTGCAAATCATCATAATAATTTTTGTGATATTAATTAAAGAAAATTAATGTACTCGATGTGATGAATGATCTTCATAAGATAGTTTGAACTCAGCAAACTTATTTAGGATATAAATGTTCATTTATAAAATATGTAATAAGTAACACATAACATAATGGCTGTCATATTATATTTATATTAATGTAACATGATCGATTTTATAAAGTAATTATTCTTTAAAAATATATTTTTTATTGCTTTAATACTTGCAAGTTATGACAAAATAAAAACAATATATTTTATATCATGCTATATATAAATGTAGTGTTTGCATTAGTTCTATATTGTATAAAACTTCTCATATATAAATATCGGATCGTTCGTTAGAATGGTGTCCGTTTCTTGACTATACAGGGTGTACGAAAAGTATTGAAATCCCTTCTAAATCTATATCTCGAAAAATACGCATTTTAGAAAAAAATGTTTCATACAAAGTTAGTAGGGTTTTATAAAGCGCATTATATGACAATATTATTATAACCTTGAATAGCGTTGTCAAGGTCACGTGAAGATCAACATAAATTTCTTAAATGGAACCCCCTTTTTCATTACATATTCTTGTAGCAGAGAGAAGCCTGAAAGTGGTCACGCCGGCGTTTTGGCCGACATGAATTTTCATAACTGATTTTAACGCCATTTGCGCCCATTTGTAGCCGGGAACTACGTTGACTACGCCCATTTGCAGACACTGCCGGTAAAGTCTCTATTTGGTGCATGTCCATTCTACGCCCATTTACTGGCGGTTCGTGTCTGTGGTACGCCTATAATTGCGGGTTTGAGAAACACAGCATCGCGTACAAACTTATACCTCGTTCAACAGCATATGATTCTTTTTCTGTATATGCATATGCATTTCTATACATATTTTTGTAAAAAATTGCATCTTCTAATTATTATCCGAATTATTATCTCTTGTTACATTCGTAATTCGTAACAAAAGCGGACGGTAATTCCGAGTCGACATAGAGCATTAGTTACATTACATTTATATTAAAATTTCGCATTCAACAATATAAATGTAATATAACACACATGATGTTATATTCTTGAGACCAAGTAGAGTAAAAAAGTCTAGTACTATTTTTTCTTCCAACAAACAGTTAGCGAAATATCCTTAACTCGATATAAGTTAAATATTGAAAAAGTTACTAAGTTATCCTTAAATATCTCAAAAAATATTAGACAAATAAAAAAATGTTCACACAAAAGTTGTTCAAATTAATTGGTAGAAGAAGATGTAAAAAAGTTGGGATTTCCATTTAAGAAAATTGATAATCACTGAATATCTGGAAAGTGGCGCCATTTGTAAACAAAATACTGTAACTATCTTATGTCCCTCTTCAAACCAAACATTTTTTGTTTAAACAATTTTTTTATATCTTTAATTTTCTAAGAAATAATTAAGCGTGTCCACTTAAATTAGAGATACTGTACATGTACGTTCATCTATCTAACTTATCTATCTTTATTTTGTATAATAAGTTATTAAGATTAATTCTCTTGCATTTTGTAATATGAGAAAATATACATAAGAGACAGTTATTGAGGACAGCGTAATCGAAAAGAAATAATCCCTATCTACAGCACGATACCTACAGCACGATATCATCTCGTTTTTCTAAAAATTAATCATAACCATATTGTATTATTATATATGGATGAATTCAGCATCAAAAGCTCTTTAATTTTTGTCCGTATAAAATTTTTTAATTTTGCAAAATTAATGGGTAGTGGGAGGTTGAAAATTTTTACACTTTTGAAAAATCTGAGTATATTGTTGTAAACACTATAAAATACTGTAAATCTTTTGTACGAAACATTTTTTCATATACCTTGTACTTTAGAAGATTTCCGCAAAAAATGAAAATATTAGTTTTCTTTCAAGGGTTGTTTCCCCTAAACCTTGAGGTACGCCCATAAAAAAATACATGTCTAATGTGTTTTGTTGCTTTACAACATATCCAAAGCCCATCAAAGTCGGTGAGGGACAGTTTCGACCCTTTCCTTGTCAGGTGTACAAAAAAATCATAGAGACATAGAGCGGATTAAAACAAATATAAAAGTTCGATACTGTTTTGCGATATTCGCAATAATTATTGAATTATTAATGATTGATCTGATGAATGAGCGCGCGTCGAGATGGATAATTGGAGAAGTGCAGCCACAAGAACGCGGCTCAATCGATTTAGCATCTGTTACCGATATGCAGCAAGACATAGGAGCGGCGAGATAAAACATGAAGCAACGCATTGTTCTTCACCGCACGCCATCGCACGCCAGCAACAATTGCGTGATCGACTGGCCTGCGCTTTTGTCCAAATGGCTGCAATGCTTCTCCAACCATTCATCTCAGCGCGCACTCACTCCTCAGATTTTTATAATTAAATGGGACTTTCACCTTAATCCATTCTATGTCCCCATAAGCTCTGGCACTGTTATTTTTGGACATCCTATATATATGTATCATATAATTTAATTAGGCATATCCGACGGATGAAAAGCCACTGTCGAAAACACAAGGTATAGTTTTGCGACATTTATACCTACTTTTGGGATATAATCAAACTGAACGCACTTTCCATACATCTCCACAACGTTTAAGGTAAGAACTCTATTGCTAATTAGTATTTGCAACCATTTACATACAGAACTATTTATTATGTTGTTAATTAATGAAATTTTAAAACTACCACAGACTTTCGCCAGTATTTAATGTCTTCATCGCCAATTTGCCGCAACTACTAGACCAAAATCATGTGATGGGTTTATTAATGACGTCGCCAGTTCTAGCAATATTACAACATTGCCCTTGCCCACCACAAACTACTCCGCCTACCGATCACCAACCACCAAGCTACAGTCTTTGGTATTTGGAGCCACATATCAGGAGATCTTGGTTAATGTCACTTCTTGTCATTTTATACAAGGTAAAAAAGCCGAAAAAATGGTAAAATATATAAAATTTAAGTGAAATTTATATATGTTAATGCATACTTATATTCTACAACAATCACACACTTAACATGATCTTCTGCTCGTGGATGTTTTTGAAGTCCTCTAGGCTCACACCAACTCCGTACTACATTATCATAGAAGATTCATTTTTATCATATGTAATCAATCGATCAAGAAAAAATTCATTGTAATGTCGGTTGAGCAATGTATACCCAGTTAGCAAAATGAGTGCAAATTGAGCGCAAATTGGTAGCAAGTTCGATCAAAACTTGATGCCAAAACCATAGCCAACTGTGTCCTCTTTCGGCTTTTCGATGTTTTGACATCAAGGCTTGATGCCGGGCAACTTGCAGCAAATTTGCAGCATAAACCGCGCAAGTTTTGCAGCGCATAACCTTGCACCAAATAAGCGCCAAATACCGAGTAACGCTTGCGCACAAGACACGATAGCAAATTGGCAGTAAATTCGCAGCAAGCCTTGCACTCAATCAGCTGACTGAGATAGACACGACGTGCATTGGGTTTTAAAAATTCTTAACCTATACATTGCAATATTTTGATTGCAATTTTGCATTTAAAAAGAGAAAGGTGTATATATCCAGTAAGAAAAGAATTATTATTACAACGTTATTATAACGATATTCATAAACACATAACGTTTTCAAATATGTCGTATCTAACGTTGTATACAATATCATAATTAACAAACTTTGACTTCGATGTGGAATTTTCAGCAATGTTCAATTCACAAATGTAAAGTTGTTATAAATAATGTTATGCTAACGTTTTGTTAACATTTTGGTAATGTTTCTCACAAGGGAACGGTTGGAGGTGTTTCTCACCGATTTGGATGGGCTTTGAATATGTTATAAAGCATCAAAAAATATTAGACCCATATTTTTTTTATGTGCTTATCTCGATATTTAGGGGGTGAAACTACACCTCGAAGAAAAAGGAGGTTTCCGTTTTTAGCAAATATGTCGAAAAGTACGAGGCATATGAAAAATGGTTTGTATAAAAGTTGTAGATAATTTTATACTCTTTGCAATTGTGTACTCAGATTTTGCAAAATTTTGTTTACCCCCTCCCCCCTCCTTATAACCCTCGCAAATTTTTAAATTCTTGTTAAGATGAGAATAAAGAGTATCAAATACCAAATTCATTCATGTATAACAATAGAAAATGGAAGCCATTAATTTGGTTAATATAGAGATGATAACATGAAGCTATAAACGCTATGCTATAGATAAGCGCTCCTTATTTACGCTGTACTTGATATCTCTGTATTTTCTTTTGTACAAGCTGATAAAAAGTCCTAATGATATACACAACGTATTAAATATCATATGAACATGAGTTCGTATGCAGTTATTTCGTATCTAATCAAACAAGTACGAAATCAGTGGATAAACTCAAGAGCGGCTTAAAAGTCAAGACACGTCGATGAATTCTATCCATAAACAGAATTAGTACAGCTTCCCAAAGCGATAAACGTTATTGTGCACTTTGGTTATTGACGTACATCATTTGATACTGGTCATCCTCACTCTTTACACTTTGAAGGACTTACGTTTAAAACGCACTCAGCCTTGCGCTGCGACTGTGATGCTTGATAACAGTATGATCTTATCTACAAGCCTAATAGAACCTAATAGAATACAGCATTTAAAATATTACAAGTTGACTAAAACTATTAAAGATAGCAACGTCAATTTTTTTTAATTAAGTAGCATATAGAAAATGGAGAATATAATTATCATCGAAATTCTTTTCAAGCTTTATTTTTTAAGAATTTCAAGTCATAGATGTTTTTTTAAATATCGATACAATATTGAACTCGGCAATAAAATGAATATAACGACGTGAGTTCTATATAAAAGATCTCCATTTAAATTAATTTTATATTTGGTACGAAAATATCAATAAATTTAATAATTATAAATTTTTCTTCATGTTTATAAACATATGATTCTTACAACATAACATGTTAAATTTGAAGAATAACACAAAGAAATATAAAAGGCATAATAAATACATAGATTATAGAACAACCACATTTTAATAAATCATATAGATAACTATATAAAAAATATCTCATATTATGCTAAGAACAATCAGCTTATAACACTTTAAACACTCCATTTTGTAGAAACTTATAAATAGTGCAATAACTAATTGTCATGCTAAAACGATATATGAAATGTTGAATAAAATAATTTCGCATTTTTGAGTACTAATTAAACTATTTTAGTGTCAATATGGACAACAACCATGGTGTAATCAGCTTCAAGCATTAGTGAAGATCGTTTTAAATACACTCGAAACGCAACATCATCAGTGTAAGAGGATTCCAGCGACTGTTGTTATGGGTGCACCACCTTCTAGATCTCGCGGTAAAATTTTGAGAATTTTGAAAAATTTAAAAATCCGAAATAATTGAAATTCGATATTTCAGATGTATCTCAACCCTCGCTTGGAGTGGAACACGACTTAACAAATGCTTTAGGAGAAATCGACACAGAAACTCCGCCGATGCGCCAACTATGGTGCCCGATGCATCAACGTAGTCCCAGCGGAATACACGGACAAATGGAAACTCATTGGGAGGAGAATAACGGTCCAGCGTGTCGTTATTTCAACAAATATTTTATAACTAGGTCAGTAAATTTGTAATAGCGTGACAATACGTTGCATTCAAAGTGACTCTTCACTTGCGCGCAGCGAGCACGAGCCATAAAAGATTAGATATTTAATCAAGTAGTAAGAAGTAGTGGAAGAAATTCGTGTCTGATATTCATTTTCGAATGGCATTACTGATATCATGGGAAATTATCGGTTGAGCTTTTGTATCACTTAATCTAATATTTCGTCATTGTAATATTCTTCCTAGGTAATATTTAATAAGCGTGTAATATTAGTGTTGTCATGCTTCTGTGTTTTTACTTAAGTAGTGGCATGTTACAATTTGTCGCTATTGCGAATGCCTTTGCGAAGCTATTTCAATGCGGACGATACGGAGTCTGAGCTGGCCGCGATTCCTGAGAGCCCAAAATCTGACAGCACCTTACATGGTAGCAGCGGAGGATCTCTCGGGGAGCTAGAGGATACGGTTCAAAGAAACACGTTTTTACAAGAACCACGCACCTCGATTGTTTCTGATGGAACAAGTGCAATTGTTGACCCGAATAATCGAAACATCAACAGATTGAGAATGGAATCCATAACGAAGCCTATATGGTTTTTAGGAAATGAGGATGAAACTTCTCAGGTAATTGCGTCGCTTATTGCTGATCTTCGATAATCGTTTGAGATTCAACAGAAACATTTCATTCTGTCCCAGGGAACTAGGAAAGTTGAACCTCAGAAAAAATGGAGCGTTTACGAAGGAGTAAAAATGATGGTAACAAGCACATTTCTAACCGGACAGCAAGAATCTTCAAAATTTCACCCTAAAACGCCTATATTACCGGGAAAAAATGCTAAAGGCCAATTACCGTATAATGGAGATACTATTTCATCAAAGCCGTACAATTTATCAAGTGCGTTAGCAGTTGCGACGAGTATCTCTCACATTCAAGGGTAACATTTTCCATTTCTGGATATAAAATGAAAGATTCTAAGGAAGTTAATTGAATCTATTTTCTCTTTTATAAAACTTTAATATATAATTTTTTTCTCAGAAGTTAATATTTCTTTTTATATTGTTATTATTAATTATATGGTATATTATATTTTAAACTTTTAGGTCCGATCCAACAAAAGAAGAGAATAAACAAAAGAATAAGGAGAAAGAGAAAGAGGGAAAAGAAATGGATATAGAGAAAGAACAAAATGTAGAAATACAGAAAGAAAAAGCACATGTCAGTAACACCGTTGGTACTACCGTTAATATTGAATCGCCGAACACGAAACATTTAGGTAGACAGAAACATGTAGAGCAAATCACAATCACAGCAACGTCACCAGTCTCGCCTTGTCAAGTAATCACGGTGACAAATAGCGACCACTCAAGTTCGCCAGCATTGAGTTCCATATCATCGCAAGTCATAAGCACGGAGAACGGGCAACTGACTGGTGTACCTACCAGTCCACAACTTTTAATGACTACCCCAACGGTCGAACGTTTATTACCTATTGGTACAACAGTTCGCACTACAGGTAAGCTTTCTCTACGCTATTGTTTCATATCACGTTACAGTACCTAGTGTTGTGTTTACAAGGGGAGGACTAGAATATGTCTTCCTCGACTTCGACGAATTTGATGTTGCATGTTATATGACTAGCTAACAAGCTCATTTACATGTACTATTGATAGTATAACCTCCGCATGGTATATCTTGGGTAATGTTAATGCCGACGGTACTATAACTTTCAAGCCTCATAACTCGAGATGTATTTAACAAAAAAATATTATATTTAATTATAATGTTTTGGAAAGCTCTCGAGATAAGTCACATAAATATGCAATTAGAAATAAGGGTTTCTGTATAAACTTTTTTAGTTGAACTTCAAATGACCTTCAATTTTCACTTCTAGATCAAAGTCAAAGTCACCATCAAATGTCCCCCTTAAAATCCTACAATTTTTATATGAAACGTTTTTTGTATCTTACATATTTTTCGAGATATTTGACTGTCAAAAATAAAATGGGACACCCTATATATAATCAATTATACATATAATAATCCTTTCCCGTCGAAGTAGTATGGATATCTTGTTTGTCGTTGTCGTAATTATTTTCCGTTGGTAAGAAACTGATGTCACTCAATCATCATTGTTTGAAAAACTAATAATGTTGCCTGTTGCTTGTAGCTAAGATTTTCAACTGACTAATCCAACGAACTGTAGTTTGTTTGTTATTTATATTTTAAGCGCCTAATTAGTCAGTAGCATGATAAAATGGCTGAAACTAAAGGTCCATAAAATAGTTGAACATTTGAGATGGAAGATTCTCGGCCTTTGCTTACAAAAGTAAAAATGTCTTGACGGAAAATTCCTGGACTTCTATGGGAAAGGATTAAAATATAAGATTACATTTTAAATGCTAAATAAATAAATAAAATAAATGTTGTTTGTAGGTCCACGAACAGCACAGCGTGTATTAAGATGCGAAGATACATACGGATCTCCGGAATCACCGTTATCAAAAATGGATATCTTGACGACAGTCAGTGAGTGAATTTTTTTATCAATAACAAAGGCAGAACTATAATAATAATAATAATAATAATGATGATGAAGATAATGATAATGATAATGATAATACTAATGATAATGATAATGATAATAGTAACAACAACAATAATGTGTATATACTATATATAATGTGTATATATAATAGTGTATAACACATATACATATATAGGGTGCCTCAGGCAACCTGAACAATTTTTCGTTAAGACGCAGAGCGGGTCAAAGCAAATACAAAAGTCCCATTCTGCGAAATTTGCAATAGTTACCGAATTATTTTTTTATTGCAACACTCTTCAATCATCCATCTCGGCACGCGCTCACTTGTCAAATTTCTGTCCTTAGTAATTCAATAATTATTTGCGAATATCGCAAAACGGTACAGAACTTTTATGTTTGTCTTAATCCGCTCTATGTTTCTATTAATTTCTTGTACTGAGTTATGGGATACCCATTATATCTACGTATACATATACGTATATATATACGTATACAGGGTGTCTCGTTATAAAAACAGTCGGTCCGAATATCGCGAAAACTGAGCCCGATAGACAAAACTGTTTCAAAGAAAAGTTGCATGGTTTCGAGGGGGCCACATGATGAAAATATGAACTTGACCTTGTTTTCTCGCGCATAAACAAATTCATTTATTAAAACTATGTACAGTTCGAAGCAAGACTTTGCGAGAAATATTTCTACAAACTCTATATATTCAGCTTCTCATATCATTTCTTGTGGTCGTAGTAGTGGTTGTTCAGCAAAAACAGCATTGTCAATATTTTTTTCACTCTAGATATCCCATTCGATATATCTTTGTGTTTCTAATGCAGTTTCCAAATGAAATTCATTATTCTCCAACAAAATCTATTATAATGTTATAGGCTCTTCGTTCGAACAAGATAGCGAGACTTGCGTATCCAGCGATATTACAAGTCCACATAGCATTTCTCAACTGGAATTTCCAACACCAGAACGACTACTACCAATTGGACCTCAGAGAGATTTTTCCAGTTTAGTTGAACGTGTATGTCAAGCTCTGGAAATCTCAAATATCGAAGGTTTATATATCTATCATGATTTTCATGTTTCTATATAAAATTGTTATAACCTAATATTTTTTAATCTTTCCCTACAGATACGAATAAATTGAATGAGGATGTAAGGCGCGATACAGTGATGTTCACAAAACAAGATAGCGGGACATCTAAAAATATGGTAAGATCGAAAGAAACTTCAGTCAGCCAAATATTTTATTATATTATAATTATATTATATTGCATATGAATTAATTAAATCTTTGTCACAAATAAATTAATTACACATCATAACTCTGCGGGACATATACAGGGTGTACCAGAAGTCTAGAAACGGTCGAATATTTCATAAACTATGCATTTTAGAAAGAAATGTTTCAGACAAAAGTTATTTAGTTTGAGGGGAACATAAGATTGTGTCATTGAATTGACTTTGAGTGAACGTTCTAAGATCATACGGAGTTCAACTTTATTTTTTTAAATAGAACCCCCTATTTTTCATTACATATTCTTGTAACTCATCTCGAGAGCTTTCCAAAACACTATAAATAAGTTATGTTTTATTGAGTATTTTCCGAGTTATGGGGTTTGAAAGTTACAATACCGCTGGCACTAGCCAAGGTGTACTGCGTGGAGGTTGCACGATCGGATTTACACCTCCTATGTATGTATGTATGTGTGTGTCACAGCAGAAATAACGATTCCAGGGAGTTCGTCACTCCCGTAGTATTTAATGACTCCAATCCTCTCTGTTGTATGTGTGCGATGTGTGTGCGCCCGTGCGTGCGTGTGTGCGTGCGTGTGTGTATGTGTATGTGTAGGGGTGTGTGGTTCAGGGGTGGAGTCGGACTTTACAGATACCCTATATATTGAGTATGATGTTCTTATCTCTTTGCATTTCATTTTAATTTCTTCTCTAACAAGGGGAAGGCCAGAAAAAGGAACGCCATTCCTGCATGAAACCTACACCAAATTGTAGGATTCGATGAGCAATTTTCAAAACACCCGGTTTTTGGCGTTTCCAGACAGTATATTTAGAGAAAATTTCATTTTTATTTGTGCACAAGCATGTGATCCTTATTAAGGCATTTGTAGCAAGCGTTAGCGCAAGTATAAGTTGACCGAGTGGCAACGGGCGTGAGTCGCGCGCGGGAGGTCCATGTTCGCTTCCTGGTGGTACTTGATAATTTTTTTTTTGTTTTTCATAATTCTTGCATTCGATGTATAGAACGTGTTATCTTTTTTGGTCATTGATAGAATAAATTTCTTGTTTTAGAAAGAGAGCCCATCACCACCCCTATCGTACTTGATCAAAATATATGACAGACCTCTTTCTTTATATATGATCATATAGACGAATAATTTTATAGTGCTTTTTTTCTTTTTTTATGCGATCTTATGGGTATAAACCTTTGGATGGTATTTCTCGTAGTAGCATGCAAAGCAATATACCTTGCGGCACCATGAACATTGGCAAAAGATTGCATGCTACTATGACAAATACCATCCAAAAATTTTATCGTTTGAAGATAAAATATTTGACGACACGAATATTCCCAAACTGGAAAATAAACTTTGAAAATACAAACGAGAGAAACAGAAAATAAAATCAAGAAAAAGTGTTAATGACGCTTTGGAAAGCGTAAGATATTATTATTTTTAATTAAAATCGACGGATTTGTATTCATTTATAAAAATTACTGAACTTGGCGCGAGGCACCATGCTTCTTGATTTATTTTGAGGACGGTAGCACTTGTTATCGCGCGTTCCTTTAAATATTAAAAAATTTTATTTTCAATTTTACATTCGGTTCAATCGTGAGTTATAAACTTTCCTTCCTCTCTTGTAGAAGGCAAATTGAAAAAGAATAGAAAATAACACACTCTCTCCTTCTCCTTCTCTCTCTCCCCCCTCTTCCTCTCCCTCTCCCTCCCCCTCTCCCCCTCTCCCTCCCTCCTTTCCTTCCCCCATCTCTCTCTCTGTCCCCTCTCCTTCCTCTCTGCAAAATTAGACTAGGATATAGCACATAGTTTGCAAAGTCTTAAACAAACCTATACATATAGTATAGCTTCAATAAAATATCAATCGTTTTGAGCAAAGCAAGAAGGATATATTCATTCAACTTATTAGCTTTTTATTTATATCCACAGTCTACGTCACTTGCACCGGCATCAAATGGAGCTAATTCTAGCAGATCTCCAAGTCCACGAAGATTAATCAAACAGGTAGCATTGGAATCGTCTCCACCAATGGTGGATATGGGAGATTTTGCTTCGAAGATAACTGATTATGACCAGAAAATTAAAACAAGAGATCAGTATTCATCAATGAGGGATCAGGGATTACGTATTCATCGTGATAAAACGCGTAAGGTTACTAACACCACCACAGATCAAGATGTAATCACTGATGCGAGACGAACAGAGTCCTGGTAAATTATCATCAACAAATATTTTATCTCTTTAGAATAGTTAAGCATGCTACATTTTCAAAAAGATCCATTGTTTAATTCTTATAATTTGCTGTAGAGTAATGATAAATATACAGGATGGGCCATTTTAATTTACCCACACTGATAACTTCGAAGATTATGGAAATATCGAAAAATGTCCAAAAGAAAAGTTATAGGGTTCGTAGGGGGTCAACTGATGATGACTTTGACTTTGGCCTTAAAGGGCATTTTTTAAGTCATTTGAAGGTCAACTTTGTTTTTCTTAATTGTTGAGACGAGTCAGGATCTAAACGCTCAAATAATACAGCTGATACGTTGTTTACTTTACTCGCCCGGAGAACCGGAAAGTAGAGAGTGCTTCTGGCATGGAATTGCCTCGTGCCTTGCGTGATACATGCTGTCTCTCTCAAGAACAATAGACAATATATAAGTTCGTAATTTGCAACAGAAAAGTTTAGATTCAAATTCAGTCTAGAACAGTTCTGATCAACTCCGACGGTGCGCACCCGGTTCTTTGTTATAAGCTCGACACTCGTCGACAGTATCGCACCACGCTTGCCTCAGCAATCCGCATACCGCTTAAATATTTTATTGTTTCGTGGCACCGAATAAGTGCTCTATCAAGTTTCCCACACAGTCACATCGGTAATAAGCACATAAAATAGTAAACGCATTAAAAATTTAAGTCTAATAATTTCAGTTATTTCACGACACACTCGAAGCCCGTCAAAATTGATAAAGAACTTTTCTGACAATCTCTTTATTAAATATGTTCATTTGAAAATATTTTTCAAATGTTTTTCTTTCATGAGTATTGAAAGATGGGTTTTTTAAACTATATCTTTACCTTATATTTATTCGTAAATTATTTTCTCATCCAATAGGTCCGGGCCACAAGTCCAACCAAATTTCAACTTCTTCTCTCAGCAAGCATATCACGCAGATTTCAATTTGAAACAGAGTTTATTCCGTATCGGTGATGATTGCGTTTATGATAGGTGTTCGGAATGTGGAACAATTAAAGAGGAGTATTCTGACGAAGAGCTCGGATTATGTATAATAACTTTGGGAACATTTATCCATCGAGAACCATCTTTAGCAGCACCGCTATTACCAGAAATACTTGGCGTAGTAACCAAGTAAATATTTGCATGCTTGTAAAAAGATATTTGTATGTTTATGTAAAAAAATTCTATATTATTTATTTTCTGTTTCTGTTATCAATTCACATATAGAATAATTGTCGTTGAATAATAATAAAGTTCTGATATATTGGCAGGGTTGCACTTAACGCCATGTACCCTTGGCAAAGCGAAACGAACATGCATTTACCAGGTGGTGCGGTCAGTGTAGCACATCAATTTCTCAGATGTGTTTTGCACCAATTAGCACCTAATGGAGTATTTATGCAAATGTTTCAGACCCATTTAAATGGTAAGTATATAAATTCTTTAATTTATAATAAAGATGCTCTTAAATAATTGTTGTTGATCGAGCAAAAATAGTTTTAATATATCTCCATAAAAAAAATAAATATATGATAAATGTGATGATTGAGACGACCACAATATCAGTTATTTACAATCTATTCACTTCTAGCGTTGCACTATTGTGCAAAAAAGAAAGGCTTTGTAAAATAGGCTGTAAAATTTGTAAAATTTATTGCCAATAGAAAAAAATTGTGTCACATAGGTAATCACAACGTAAAAATCAAGAGAAGTGAATTTAATAGTATGCAATGAAACTGTTCATTAAAAATTTCAACTTCCGTGTGAATCTGCAAACTTTGTACACCGACAACCATCGTTGCGCAATGAGAATAAGAGGACTTATTTCATTTTATGTTGTTAGTTTACTCACACGCACACGTTCATCCGTACACACTAGCTTATTTCTGCAATATGCAATAAAACAGGCGAATGGCGAACATTTTCAACATTTATTGTAACTAATTCAAGGTCATATTAAAACCAAATGTAAATAAGCCTAATTAAACGATTGTCGTCTACAATAATTAATCTTAAATTTTTCCTTGTGTAAGTAATACAGCTAACAATATTTTCAACATAACTCCTGAAATAAGCATTTCCGCACCTATGTCCATATAACATTTTTTCATCCTTCAGGTGTGAGGAATATCTCTTTAAATTTTTTACATATCTTTTTAGAACACCCTGTATATCTAATTTAAATTAGATTTAGATTTGGAGATGTTTAATGTAAAAATAATCTCAATTTGTAGAAACGACCAGGTTGCAATTCTTCAAGAGTGTCGCCCAAGCTTTGATCGATTTTAATGAATTAAACCCCATTGCGCCTCTGCAACTACTACTCGAGGTAAAAAAGTTATTTTAACATAATTGCGTATTACGAATTTTGGTATATAATTTTTTTTCACTTTGTATTCAGTAAAGGATATATCTCGCATGAAGGAAATTTCAAAAATGAATTTCACTTTTCGTTATCTACGAACCTTGCGCGAAACCGAAAATTCTGATTTTAATAAAACTTGACATAAATGTAAATTAGATAGGTTAAGCAAATAAGGTAAAAACAATTCAATTAGTACCAAAAAATAGAAATTGAAAGGGTGCAATGGCTTTAAACTGGACATCCTGTATACAGGGTGAGGAAAAAATACCGGAACCTCGAAATACACCGAAAAATATAATTTTTATAAAAAAATGTTTCAGACAAAAGTTGCAGGGTTTCAAGTAACGCATTACACAGTAATATTAGTATGACCTTGAATAACGTTGTCAAGGCCATGTGAAGGTTATCTTAAATTTTTTAAATAGAACCCCCTATTTTTCATTACATATTCTTGTAGCTTGTCTCGAGGACTTTCCAAAACACTATAACTAAATGTTTTCTCGTTAGGTATTTTTTAAGTTACAAGACTTAAAAGTTGTAGTACAGCCGGCATTAGTATTACTCAAGGTGTACCGCGTGGAGGTTGCATGGTCAGATTTACACCTCTTTTATACGTGCATGTGTGTATGTGCGCGCGCGAGACTTGTGCCCTCGTGTGTACATACCTACATACATATTCTTATTTAAATGTGCGTAAATACCGCTACATGTTCCTGAGCGTTTACATTCATAATAAATGCTCAAATTGCTGGCTATTAACAGTCTGACAACAAGCCAGTCTAAATGTCTGTTAAAATTGGAAATAGGCTTATCATACACAAAAATGAAAATAGCAAAATTGACGGTGCACCTCACACACACACACACACACGCGCATACATACGCATACACACACGCGCGCACACACACACATACATGCATGCATAATAAAGGTGTAAACCCGACCATGTAACCTCCACGCGGTATATCTTGGGTAATGCTAATGCCAGCGGCACTGCAACTTTAAAGTATTGTAACTCGAAAAATACCTAACGAGAAAACATTTAATTATAGTGATTTGGAAAGCCCTCGAGATAAGCTACAAGAATATATAATGAAAAATAGAGGGTTCCATTTAAGAAATTTAAAATGACCTTCACGTGACGTTGACAACGCTATTCGAGGTCATACTGATATTGCTATGTAATGCGTTACTTGAAACCCTACAACTTTTGTCTGAAATATTTTTTCATAAAAATTATATTTTTCGATATATTTCAGGGTCTCGGTATTTTTTCGTTACCCTGTTTATGGCGCATGGAAAATTTTAAACTCGTTTTTCTTGTAAATATAAGAATTGCATCAATTTATTTTACTATTAATTAATAAGAGGGTAGTACTAAAATATATATCAAATTCGATAAAATCGAAATGTGTGAATATAAATCGTGAGAATTGCATCAATTTATTTTACTGTTAATAAGAGGGTAGTACTAAAACATATATTAAATCCGATAAAATCGGAAGGGGCAATCTCTGGTACTCCCCCTTGTCAGTAAGAGAATGTGAATAATTCCCAGAAATTAAGTTCTCTTATTAAACTATCGGCTGCATTCCAACCTACATTCAAAAGAAGTAACTAAACCATATTATCGTATATTATATTATACTTATATTATTGAGTAGAAAATTATAATATTAATGTAATGTCACTCTGTTACTAGATATTTACTTATTTGATTAACTGATGACTAATGATAATTTAATGACAAATTTCATTTTTAGACTTTGAATATGAAAAAATCATTACCGATGGAACGGTTGCCGACAATATTGTATAATATTGCATGTTATTTGGATTGTTTGCCATTGGAAGCGGGATTAGGTCCTGGAGTTGCTACCTGGAGCGGCTTATTGGCTCAGTTCGACGGACTATTTCGAAGACTTGTTCTTATGCTTCCTGCTGTCGAGGATATCATTCCTCTTCTACGAATTATGATTTCAATATTAAAAGTTCCAGGAATTCAACAATCTAAGGTATGTACCTCGATAAAATAAAAGAAAACTAGATATCGTGTGAAATTTATCTTTTTCAATTATCACCAAATCATAATATCTGATATTTGCAATTGTGATTTTTGTGGTATTTTACATGTAACTGTTTTATGTGTGGATAAATGCTAAAATTTATCTTTCGAATACAAAAAACGTGTTTCGAATTAAACACGTTTTTTGTGTACATTTATTTCCAACGTTTTGTGAACGTTTACTTCATTAAAGAGAAATTAAAGAGAAAAATTAATTAAAGAGAATAAAAGAATATTATTCTGTCACTCTTCAATAGGTATTCTTTCATTAATCTTAAATGAATGATTGATTAATCATAAAGGAATTATAAAAACAGATTTTCAACAAACGGCGATGGTCGAAATTGTAAGGCGATTGGTTAGTATGCTGGAGCTTTGAATATTGCGGGTTCGAATTTTGTTTTTTGTAATTTTATTTAATCTACAGTAAAGCATAACATTGTACAACGTATTTTTATTATTGGAAACTTAATAAAAAATAATTTACTTTGTATATACAATATTTATTTGCTATAAATAAAGTTTAACTAATTTTCTATTTTTGTCACGTTTTTATTTCTACATATTGTATTTATATCGACAGATTTCAAATACTTACAATTTCCACCACCACCGTTCGTTGAAAATCTGTTTTTATAATTCGGTACATACGTTACACGAAAAAATTTAAATTCACCTTTTTTGTGAATGTTTGAGAATTGCGTCGAATCACTTTAATTAGTGAGAGGATAGTATTAAAACACATATCAAATACGGTAAAATCAGAAAGGGCGGTCTTTGGTACTTTTCTTGTTAACAAAATACCTAATATAGATAGAGAATACAGAACCAATTTAATATTGCAAACAATTTTCCTAATTTTCTACAATTTGGAATGACTATATTAAATTTTTTTTCTTTCTTTCTTATTCTTTTCCTTTCTTCCCCCTCATGAGGCATATTCTTTTATTTAAGAGATACCTATTGATGTTTTCAATATCAAGTCGCTCTTTTGCTGATGAAATAAACTGAAATGTTCACAAAAAGTTGGAAATAAATCTATAAAAAACGCAGGTTTTTTTCTACCTAGAAATCAAAACCAATCCAATAATATTACACAATATTGTTTCAGGGAATGCTGGATCCACTTTCTAAAGTAATAAGTTACGCTATACAAAATTCAACGTTGCAATACCATTATTTAACAGACTTATGCTATTTATGTCATAGAGGATTTACTCGCGATCGCGATAAACATTTTTTTGGTAGAACGATTGTGTTTGAATTGGTTCAAGCTATCAAATTCAAGATTACAATACCGGATTCGAATTTCTTGCTGCTTCTCCAATTTGTACTCCAGGTACAATTAATAAAATAACTAATAGAGTAATTAATAGAGTAATTAATTAATATAGATATAGAGATTAATTAATAGAGATATTAATAGAATAATAAACAGAATAAATGTTGCATTTAACGGAATAACGAGATACAGTCGTGATCTTCACATACAGAGCAGATGTATTCCGTATTATATTCTGATATGATCGTATCGAAAAATGTAAGGTTATTCTATTAAAAACCGTCACGAAATAGAACATAAAAAATAAATAAAATTATTGTTATATAATTACACTTTATGTAAGAGACCGTTAGAAAAAATCTATGGGTATATAAAAGTAGTACATAGATATGTGCAGAAGGTGGTCGGCCATTTCTAGTAAATTTATTAAGAGGTTGCATTGAAAATCGCTGTTTTTGACCATTTATTTCAATAACAAAATGTGTGAATATATCAAAGTATTTGCCTTCGGAAGCTATAATTTTTTCCTACTTTTCTGACAGAAATTGAATTCTGCGACGAAAGAACAGTCTGTCAATCCATTTGAGTCAATCCATTCAGCAACCCAATTTTCGACTTCTCCGTAATTATGAAAAAGTGTATCTTCCAAAGCGTGTTGCATCGATCAACAGATGATGATCGCTTAGGGCTAAGTCCGGAGAATACGCTGGGTGAGGGAGAACCTCCCATTTGAACTCTATCAGTATTTGTTTCACGGTTATAGCAACATGGGGCCGAGCGTTGTCATGAAGAAGAATCACTTTTCGGAAATTTGATGCAGTTAATGGTCGTTTTTGCATCAAATTATCATTCAAACGTTCCAATTGTTGTCGATAACGTTCGGCGGTGACTGTTTCATTCGGTTTCAACAGCTCATAATACACGACACCCTCCATATCTCACCAAATAGAGAACATTGCTTTATGACCGTGGATGTTTTGCTTTAGTGTCGACGTTGATAGTTGGCCAGGATTAACTCATGATTTCTTGCGTTTCGGGTTGTCGAAATAGATCCATTTTCATCGCCAGTCACGATACGCTGCAAGAAACTTTTCTTTTTATGCAAGTAAAGAAATCAAGACGTTTAAACGATTAGCAATGGCAAATTTTCGATCAATTCATATAGCAGCCATCTCCCTTCTTTTCGAAACTTTCCCATGACTTGTAAACGTCGTGAAATGATTTTCGACTTCGAGCTGTTGAGCCAATTCTTTGAGTGTTTGAGCAGGGTTTTTTTCCAATCGAGCTTGCAATAGTTCATCTTCGAACTTTTTCGATTGACCTGGCTGTTATTTGTCGTGAATGTCACAATTATCACTTTTAAATCATCGAAATCAATCTCTGCACATATAGTTTCCGATGAAGCAAATTCACCATAAGTTTTCACAAGCAATCGATAAGCTTCAACTGCACTTTTTTCTAAATCAAACTAGTGTAAAAGAACATCGGAGAAACAATTTGTCGCATTCCATTTTAATTCAGTTATAAAAAAGCACTTGTGTAAACAAAGGTTGACGTCTGATGACTGAATTTTAATGGGAAATGTTCACACTTTAAAGTGATGTAAGAGACATCTGTCACTGCCCACAGCATACACAGCTAGAGCCATTTATACGTGAACAGTGGCTTTCAATTCAATCTTCTAATGTACTGACAAGTAACACTACCCAACTGTCACTCACCGATTCCAATGAAATTTGGCAGGCACGTAGAACATTGAAAAATATTGAACACAAGTCTTTTTATATCGGCTGACAACGCATTTTAAGGGTGGAAATCACCCCTTGATCCCTGAACATGAAAACACTATTTCAACCCTTTGTACATATTACATGTAATTTTCATCAAACTTATCTTCCATTGAACTAGTCAGGGAGGGGTTTTTAATGAAACTCTAATTCCTAATTATATAGGGTACTTCAGACCACTCGTTCATCCCTTTTCAAATTAAGGGAAATGGTTTTCAATAAAAATTCCGAAAATTTTCATGACTTAATACGCTCTACTTAATTAGGTTTAGACAAAGATCAGCTCGATAACATTTCGGCAAGTCAGACAAATATTAAGAATCTAGGTAAACTCAATATTAAATCAATGGTTTTATATTATTTAAGTTGCTTTTCAGCCGTCGTCAAAGTAATATAAGTTAAGTGCAACATTTAATATTTTACCATCTGTTAACCATTGATAAACTAACATCGATTCCATATTATTTCAGAACGACAAATTATCATCAAAAGCTCATTATCATCAAAATCAGACAATCGTTATTCAACATTGATTCAACATTGACCCAATATTTTTGTGTTGCTCGGATGTGATGGTGTTTCAATCATTTTTTTATTAATAACATTTTTAGAAATAATGAGCGGTAGATAAAACTTTTTGATTGTTACTGCGGACATTGATAACATATATTAAGATCACGACATATATTAGTATCTCATTGCATTGTTAAATATAATATTTACGGTTAATATAAATTAAATTAATAGAATAGCTAATGAAAGAGATAAGAGAGATAATTAATAGAGATAATTAATAGAATAATTTATAATATTTAAGCTATAGTTTAATGATTATTATATATTATATAAATAATAAATATTTTAATATTACTCTCAGGATATTGGAGGATCTTTGCCTAGCACTATCACGATGAAAAATAATATTCAGACAGACATGTCGCCAATTTACAATACGAACGCTTCTGAATCTTTAAAAAATCAGTTATCGGATGTCCTTGATTTCTTAGCTGACTTCCACACATTAAGCAAGATCAAGGTAATACTGTCTGTTCAAATATAAATTTTTTATATTCACAGGGTGAGAAGAAAGGGTATGGAAACCCTGAAAAATTTCATAAAATATAAATTTTACAGAAAAGTATGTCAATTAAAAGTTGTAGGATTTAAAAACATCTATTTACTGATTTTATCAGTTTAACCTTGGATGGTACTGTTAAGGTCAGGACAAGGTCAAATAGAATTTTTTAAATGTGATCTTAATTTTTTATTATATATTTTTATAGCCTTTGTTGAGTCGTCTTCAGAACACTATAATAAAGTTTCTTTTGATTAAGAATTTAAGAAGATATTTTAAAATTTGTCATGATACTTTTTAATATAAAATATCTTATAAAGTAAGTAAATAATCTTGTAAAGGAAGAAGATCGGGCCATCTAAGCAAGATCGAAGAATGATCCGGCCATTTAAAGCAAAATCGAAGAATTCTTTTCAAAGCAAGTTTATAATAAATTTCCAAAGTATTTACCACTCACAGTTTGATAATGTGTTAGTCAAACGTAAAATCTTAAAATATCGTTCTTAATATAATCCTTGGAAATGAATGCAGTTTTATCAAGGATTTGACGACGTGGCTCATCTATAGTTTGTGTTATATAAACTTTACTCTTCAAGTAACCCCAGAAAAAATAATCGAGAGGGGAGAAGTCTGGCGATCGAGCTGACCACTCACTCTCTCTTTCTCTCTCTCCTCCCTATCAATTATTCAGCGAAAATTTCGTTTAAATAATTACGAATATCCCTTCCACAATGTAGCGCAGCACCATCTTGTCGGATCCAAATGTTCTCAATGTTCTCAATGTTCTTCATCAACAATACTTTTATTACAAGAACTGTTTGGTTTCAACATATCCCATATTTCAGCATTTAAATTTCCTTCAATAAAGAATAGTCTTATTAAAGTATTATTTACATATCCGTGTGCCCAAACATTTAGTTTCTTCTAATGTTAAATATGAAATTCTAGCATTTAATGAGAATATCCAATCAAAATTTACAATAATGTCGATTGTCATTACCGTTAAATTGAAACATTGCTTCATCTGAGAAAACTATGTTGTAAAAGAAAATCAGGTTCTACATCTACACTTTTCATCATTAATTCACAAAACTCTACGACGTTGATTGAAATCCTCTTCGTTCAGTTTGCACTAGATAAATTTTATATGCATAGAATTTATTCTGTTTTAATATTTCGCAAACCGATTTATGATCTATTTGATCAGAAGTTCTTCAGCAGTCTTACAGGTGGAACTGTGTAGATTCTCTACAAAAGATTACAATACCTATAATGCCTTCTTGGGATTTGTTGCTATTGCTAGTTTCCTTGTTTTTGGGCGGTTTTTAATGCTATCAATTTTTTTCGAAACGTCGCGTCGGACTGTTCTGTGAATCGTAGATTTTGAGATATTTGTATACTTTCATTCCGGAACATAACGTTGAAGAGCTGCCTAATATCATTATATAACCTTAGTCTATTTCCTCGTATTCTCATCTTCAAAAAAGATATTCATTTACATTCAGTACAATGTTGCATTTTGACAAGATAAAACAAACAATGTACAAAAAATGTAAATACTCTAATAATTAGAGAGAGTAAATATGCAACTGATATGTGGTAGCCGCGAAAACAACTGATTTTAAATAGCCCTAAAAATATTTGATTTTGAGTAGCTCTTTAACACGTTAAGCGCGGAGCCGATTTTGCTGAGCTTTCCGTTCAAGCGGCGCACAGTGGACAAAATATCTGACTTTATTCTAACCTTGCCAACGCCATCCAAGGTCAAACTGATAAAATCAGTAAATAGATCTTTTTAAACTCTACAATTTTTACCCGAGACATTTTTCTGTAAAATTTATATTTTTAAAAATTTTTCAGAGTTTCCATATTTTTTCTCCACTTTGTATGTAAATTACGACAAACCGTGATTAATCAGAATGTAACAGTAAATGAAATTGTATTTGTCTATAAGAATACATTTTGAGAATTGCTTTTTTTAGAGTTATAGTAAAGATATGCACGCGGGATTAAACGAGGACACGTTAGGTGGAATATTAAAATGTGGCCTCGCTCAATATGTAGCTTTAGAAATTACAAGAGGCAATAATAGAGAGAATAAAGCTATTGCGCGTTATTTACCATGGTTATACACTGCACCATCTACGATACAAGGGTAAATTTTTTTCGTTTATTATGTCTCTTATGCGTTTACGTTTCAGTATTCTCTCACTACTGCAGCGAAACTTCGCACAATTTAACTAATTTATAAAAATTAATTATATACATAATTTTTCATAAATTCATTTTTTAGTGCTCGCGAATATGTTGATTGTATCGGCCACATCAGACTCCTATCCTGGTTGCTATTGGGGTCGCTTACACATATAGCAATGTATACTGGCAATACTAACAATCATACTCATAGTTCAACAATTTTATTGGCGCAACCGATACCTCAAGAAGTGTCCTGTCATATTGCAGATCACATACAAATCATTTTCTCAGGATTCCCAGAACAATCAAAAACCTCGGTTCTTCATATGTCGTCTCTTTTTCACGCATTTATTCTTTGTCAGGTATCTATATATTAAATTGTAAAATTATTATTAACTATATTGAATTTACGTTAATGAATGTGTTATGTTTTATTTCAGCTTTGGACAATGTACTTGGAAGAATTATCAAAGAACAACGCATCGAATAGTGAAAGTCATAATATCACCATGAACATTTTATTAGAGTTTTGGGGCAAAATAACACCGTGTATTTTGCAACTCGTTTCTTATTCAAAAGCCGTAAGAATAGATTCTAAAAAGATAAATTATACGAATATCATATGTTTGTCTTTTTTTACACACTATTATACAAAAATAAAAGAAATATATGCAATCATTAATATTGTACATTTTTCAGCTATCTGAAATGCTTAACTTGCATTTCTTAAGTTTACTAGAAGCCTTGTTAGAATGTGGATCAATTGTATTAAGTAAACTATTACCCTTATGGAATGCTATTTTATTTTCCCATCATGTTCAGGTAAGGATAAAGTACCAAAAACGTATAATAAGAATTTAACAATAAATTATATATCAATCAATAATTTATTTCACTTCTTTACAGTTACCAGGACATCTACAAATGCGCTTACAGAACTGTCGTGATTTCCCCCCAAGCAGAATGACAGAAAATTTTGTTTCTAATCGAAGAGAATTAAATGCGATACTCCTACGATGGTTACATCGATTACAATTTAAAATGGGTCAAATAGAAATGCAATCTTCTACCGCTACACAATTCTATTCTATTTAAAAAAAAATAAGAAAGAAAAGGATCATCTATAAAAATAAGATTAACTTAGCCAAATTAGGCAAATTTATCTTAATTAAATACACAGCGAAGATAAATAAAAGACATAGTAATTTATTGAATGAAAGAAAAGAGAAAAAAGCGAAGCGTAACATATTATATATAAATTATATATATATATATATATATATATATACATACAGGGTGTATATACATATATATAATTGTAACACACCAACTCCATAGAGGCGTACAGCTAACCAATAGGAATGAAAAAGTCCTCTTCTATTCAGTGATATCTCTCATCGCCTTTTTAGTAATAACCGCGTAAAGTTTAGCGTTTATCACGTCTATCACGGCTTACAGACGCTCTGCAGCGAGCTGTGTGCGTCAAAGCGACAAAACGCCATCGCGGCAGTTAGCGCGAAACACGTTATCGCTCAGCTTTGACGTGACATGCATGGACGTGACAAACGTTAAACTTTACGCGGTTATTATTAAAAAACGATGCGAGATATCGCTAAATGGAAAAGGACTTTTTCGTTCCTCTCGCTTAGCTAGACATATTTAACTTTTAACTTTAATAAGTTAATGTAATTCATTAACTTAATTTTTATCGAATTGTTTAATTAACTTTTAACGTGCACTTAGTTAATTTATGAATCATTAACTTTAAAATTAATTAGTTAAGAGAAATTAATTTACACAATCCTGAAAGAAAGAATGACTTGAATGTATTGTAGAAAAAAGAAAGAAGACAAAGGAAAGGAGAGGAGAGAGGGAGAGAGGAGGAGAGAATAAGCAGGAAGAGAATGAAAAAAGGATAGAATGCGAAGGGTGATGGGTGATAAGAGGAAAGAACAGAATGGAAGAACTGAAGATGGAGAAGAAAGAGGGAGGAAAAGAGAGAATTTATTTAATATAGCATTTTATCTCCTTAAAGAGAAAAACAAAATAAAACTTGTAAATCTAACATAAGAACGTTTATGTAAAAACACAAGATCATATTAAAAATTTGTTTTCATTAAATATTATAATCTTCTTTAATATGCCAGGTACAAACAAGATTTATGTTATAAATACATCTAAATTAATTATCAATTTAGCAGAAGAAGCAGGTGAAGAATAATTGCGACAAAGTATTTTGAGTTCATAGTAATGGCATCCGTGTATTTTTGCAGTGTTTCAAATACTATGTGCAACATTATTTGTTTATTGTAATTTTATTGTGTTGTATTGTTATTCAATTGTAAAAAATTTCAACTAAATTAATGTTTTAGATTGTACACAATTACATTGTTTACACTACTGTTGTTGTCATTGTTGTAGTTAGACCTTTTGGTTTAATCATCATTAATGCACGTTTCAGAGTATAATCCCAACCTCTCCAGCGGAACCATACGATACCTTGAACAATATAATTCCTTTATTTATTATCATAAATTAAGAACTTCATTATCAACCTAGATAGCCAAACCTACGGATAAAATCACATAGCAGATCCATAGCCTACAATACCCGCATTAAGCTCGTGTTCTATAGACAGCGTCTGTCGAAATAACCTTATGACAAGTTGGCAACAAAAATGGCTATTCCTGTCGCTAACCATAATGTTATTTCAACAGACACTGTCCACAGAATACGAGCCTAATGCGGACACAGTAGGCTATGGATCTGTGGGATTTTGTTATCCGCAGACTGGATATCTAGATATCTGCAGATATCGAAATATTTATTTCGAGTTATTCCTCGCCTTTGATGTCCAACATAGCAACGGCGAATAGTTTTTCATAATGTTGTAAGGAAAACTTAATTTGATGATTTTGAAATTTCCAAAAGTCGTAAGTTAATAAAAGTCAAGGCGCTATTGTAACAATATATTCTTGAGACTAAATAAAGCAAGAAAGTCTAGTATCACTTTTTTCCGACAAATAGTTAGCGAGATATTGTAAATTAAAAATTGAAAACGTTATCAAGTTTTTCTCAAATATCTAAAAAAATAAATAAAAAAATGTTTTAGACAAAAATTGCTCAAATTAATTGATAGAAAAAAACAGTAATAAAAAATAAGAGTTCCCATTTAAAAAACGCAAATTGACCTCTAAATGACCTTGAAGATCATGGTCAAGGTCAAATTCAAGATCACAATCAAGTCCGTTACTCGATTTTCTACAGCTTTTGTATTTAAAGTTTTTCATGAAAACTTGATCCTGCAAAGTTATTCGGGGGTTCCGGTATCTTTAAGACACCCTGTATAAATATCTTTCTTGTTTAAGAATGGAACGCAAAAATTTTTTAGAGTATCTTTTTTGACATTATTCTGACGTTACAACTATGATAACATAAAAACCCTAGAAGCCTTAATCTATATTTAATTCTATATTTTCATTTACTTTTGTCAACTACTGCAAAGGTAAGTTTCCTTGACAACATTTACTTCAAAAAATTATAGGCATACCTTGCCGTGCGGTAAGATCCTGTGGATCGTTCAGATAAAGGCCATTCAAACCACGTCCACAAGACTTCCACCACCAGCCACCTTTAAGCATCGAAGCACAGTTTAACGATGATCTATCGTTATCTCTGAAAAGTATAAATATCTCATATAATTTTATATTCGAAGAAAATCTTGCAATATTTATTATGTCATTATCATAATATATATTTATTGTAATATTATATTAAAAATATATATTTATTGTAATATCAGATATCAGACTTGATGCATACGTAAATATTTTTACCTATTATATGTGGAAAACGGACTGTTGTTTGATCCGTACCAAGGATCATTTAATGAATCTCCAGCATTTCCTTCATAACCGTCTATTTCCAATTTGTAATATTCTCCTTCTGAATAAATCTTGAAATGTGAATATTGAGCATACCTATATTAAAACGTTATAGTTATAATATCGAATATTCTCAATTAATTCAAACATATTCGTGTAGTCTGCCGTCAAATTGTAAAGTATAAAATTAAATATATTTATTATTAATATTCTTGGTAATTATGCAGATAGGGACCGCCTCCCAATTTCAATGATATTGATATATGTTATCAAGGTCATTATCTTGAATAATATTATGAAAGTTTTAGCCCTCGCTCATTGTTTATTACAAAGTTATTAATAAAAAAAACTGTTCTAAACTAAATTATAATTATAATTATAATAATTTTTCGACACAATGTATAATATAATATATATAGTAAGCAGTATATGTACGAACAAAGCTTCTCCCCTTGTACCCCTCTCCTTTCAAAAACTAACTCAACCTAATCCAATTTCTACTATTTTAATAATTGTAATATTTCTTCATATAAATAATTATATGTTAAATAGTACGAAGAAATATTATACAGTCAATAACAGCAGAGGTTGGATTAGTTTTAAAATGGAGAAGGAGTACAGAGGAAACAGTGGAGCCTCTACCCTAATCATATATATACCATTTATCATATTTTAATGTATATAATGTAAATGATATAAGTATAATAATAATAATATATAAAATATTACAAAAATAAATAAATGACAGTTTCATTAGATAGTGCATACATTTATATTAATTTTATTCTTTGTTTACTTATATTTTTACTTATGGGATACATAATTGTCATTATTCCAAAGAAAGCATCTAATCATTCTTCCATATCAATCATTAATCAAATATTAACTGTATAACGAACTATTTTGTACTATTTTCATCTTTCCTAGTACTCATTTAAAATTGCAAAAAATATCAACAATATAGAAAAAGGTAAGCAGAAACATAGAAAAAAGATAAACAGAAATGAACTCAGCAAACACTGTAACAAGCATAGTATTTATGGTATTATAAAATTACATATTATTCATTATATTTCTTTTGTTAATAACTTTGTTATAAATAAGCACGGCTAAAATTTTCACAACATTATTCACGGTAATGATCTTGTTAACATATCTTAATATCATTGAAATCGGAAAGTGTGATCCTTGTTTCTGCATATAATTACCATATTCTTTAATAACAGTTCGAATAATATACAACACTAAAATATCACAGTAATTAATCTATATTTTACATATATACCTTTTGTTACCTTCGAAGTCTTCAAGTTCAACTCTGAGCATATAATCTTCGTTATTTGTCAACATATATATGTTTTCATTGCCTAACCAAAATTCTTTAGCAGGATCTCCAAATCCATTTTTATAATCCGCCCAGTCTCTATTAAAATTTTCTCTTGGTTCTCCAAAATCATCTCTTCTTTGAATAACCTTCAAGTAAAAAATTAATTATAAATAAAGAAAACATGTATATTGGGTGAGTATATCCATGCTCGTTTTTTTCAATAATAAGTTATTTGGTGATTTAGTGTACAAAAGACTTTATCTAATCGACCAAATATTTTCTATTATTCTCTATAATCTTTTTTCAACGTTTTAACAACATATAGATGCCACGGTCGTTAAATATATATAGTTTCTCATAAAGAACCTTGAAAGGAATTTTCTAAGTTTCCAAAGATAAAAAATTATTTCCATTTTCAAACTGTTCTGTAATGACAGGAACAAGTAATAGTCTGATGGTGCAATGTCAAAAGAATATGGGAAATGCAATAAAAATTCAGCTTTCCCGTGACTTGTGCTGTGTCTGCATTTAAACGTAAGGTCTGATGTTATCGCGATAAAAGACGACACCTTTCCAATTGGCCGAAATTAAGTGTTTTTTTGGATTGTTGTATTTAAATTATTCAAAATGTTGACAGTACTTGTTGGATTTAATCATTTCATTAACGAGGTACAATTCAAAAAAGATTATATCTTTACAATCCTACTAATAGATAATATCATCTTCTGAGGATGCAAACCAAATTTTAGCATAGGCTAACCAAGTTCATCCTTTTTCTCTTTCTCATTCCTCTTTCTCTTCAAGTCCGTTTATATTGAACATTATTATATAAGATCCATTTTTCATTGTTAGTCACTAATCGATTTAGAAACAGATCCTTCTTTAGTCGGCCGAATAAAGAAATTGTTGCGAAAACTGAGTCAATTTTGTTCCTTTCAGTGAGAATATATGGTTCTATAATAATTATAATTATTAAAATATGGTTCTAGACATTAAGTTTTAGATTGTACTTAATCTTTTCTAAGTGTTGAAATATTGTCGATTTATCAACGTTTAACTTTCTTGCAACTCTTCTTCTTCTTTTATTAAAATTCGTGGATATTAACTCACAAATGATAGTAATCCACTAAATTACTCACAATATTATTATTAATTAAAAGCCATTCGGATCATAGCTTATTTTCCAAATGAAAATTACCGTCAAAATTTTGAAAACTATTTTTTATAGTTCTTATGGGTGGCGCACTGTCTTATAATAATAAACTTTCTAAATGTTTTTTACTGCAGATTCAACTTTTACGCCTATTCTAAATTCATAAAATGTAATATACTAAAAATATTAAAATCTTTCTTCATTTATATTCGATAATTTTTCTCACAAATGAAATGCAATCAACATGAATCAATTCCATGTTTATATGATAACTGAAAATGTGACCTTTTTAATAATATATAATATATAAACTTTACTGCATAATATGGCCACTGTGCAATACCCATAACGATATCTATTGAAATAGGACACGAATTTTTGCACTCACCCAATACATGATGATAACATGTTTATGCAAACACTACCACATTTATTTGATCTCAATGTCTCAATTTTTCAACAAATATCACATATCGTATTTGATGGTAACATAACATAACATACTCACTGTCCAACCACCATCGGCGATTTCCTGTTCGCAATAGACTTTAAGGAACCAATATGTCGTGCCACGTATTTGAAGATAATAAACTCCATTATCTCTCATTCCAGCGTTTAATAAATCCACGCAAGAATAACCCTAAATGAATAATATACTTTATACAGTAACAGTACAAAATTGAGACATATAGATATTATCGAAATATTTTATTTTATTTAAAATAAATTCACATGACAGAATAAAAAAATTCATCGAAATATCTTAAGCAATTAAAAGTGATATATATAAAGGAACTATGCAGATAATCCAAATACCTTAACATCTTTGTAGTTGACTAATATATCGTTTGTAAAGCTGGAATTCGCTAGACTCGGTTTGTTCTTCACACTCGGGAAGATGACTCCGCGATTTCTACTATTAGGTCTGGGGGTACTGGACAACGTCGCCATCATAGGAGTTGTGGAACTAGTAGGATTATTTGAAGGCGAAGCGACTGATGACATTGACGTCGTTGTTGACAAAGGCGGTGTGGCGGTGGGCAGCATAGATGTTGTGGGTACCTCCGTTGCAAAATCTTCTGTTACACTGATATATCTTAAAATAAAAAAAATTACTCATTACATTTCTCCGATTACTATAAAATTGGATATTATATTTAATAAATATTAAAGAAAATATCAAAAGCAAACTATTGTAAATGTGGCAACTTCTACGTCATTTATAATCAGTTTGAGACGCTTATGCATTATTTAGCTGAATACTTGAAGTTTAAACTCCAACCTGCTTGGATCGTATTCGACAAGTCGATCGATCGTTGGATCCAGTAATAATTCGGCTGGTATTGGGCGTTGTGAAAGAGTGGCTACATCATCTTCTTGCTTCCTTAAACGACTTTCGACGCCCTCTAAATTTTCGATGATCTTATTTGTTTTTGATCTTAAATCTGCATGAATCTCGTTAATTGCTCTTTCCTGTCTTTGTGTTTGAGTAAGTAATTCGTCGGACTTTGGTAATAGATCGTCCACTGAGTTTTTAGTCCCCATCTAACATTGCGATTGTATGTAAAAATTATTATAAATATAAATTATTATAGATATATACGTTGATTATCACATGCTTTGCTCGTCTTACTCGATACTTACTACTACATTCCACACCTCATCCATTTTTTCAGAAACAGTAAGCATCGGATATATTTGTTCAACGAGACGATCGATTTTACTCTGCTTTATCGGAGCTTCGGTTGTTGTCAAGTTAAGAATTTGTCGATCGCTTCCGGAATTTTTATCAACGATAGCCTCATGCACGTCGGAAAGCATATTATAAACTGCTCCGAGATTGTCGGACACCAAATTCATATGAAACTGAAGTTTCCGGTCCATACTACCTGTTGCCTGCCTAAGATTCTCGATTTCGATCGTCATATGATTCATTACTTCGTTACTCATAGCTTTAGTAATCTCAATTACGCTCATACTAACAGGCTTCTTTTCACTTGCCTCAGCATTTATATCGTCATTTTGTAAGAAATTATTGTCAAGTTGATTTTTAAGATTAATTAGTTTATGATCGATATCGGAAACCTTCTGATCCAAAGATACTAATTTTTCGCCTAATGTTTCTGGTGGAGTGCGTTCGTTACGATCATGATGAATCACTCGTATCCTCGGAACTGTAATATAAAGACAATGTAACATAGGATGATTTCAAGAATAAAAAAGGCGCACTACAAATTGCAGATTTATTAGTATAGTAAATTAACGAATTCGAAATATATTTTGCATGTTTCAATGGCTTCTAAGTAAATGTCCTAATCAAGTAAACTCATCTTGAAAATATATTAATAAGTTAATAATATACAACTTAAGCAAAATATACAAAGTTAATTTTGTTAAAAAATATGAACATTTAGGGTTTTAATTGTATATTTCTTTTCTAATTTATAAAAAAATTTTAATTTATTTATAATAGTTTATTAGAAATGACTGAAGTATCATTTAGTGGTCTAAAAGTTTAATTTTACTTTTCCATTGATAGATTAGTTTTTCTAAAAGAAGCAAAAAATAACTGTGCAAATCTAATAAACAGACATTTAATATCAACTATCAATTTCTAAAATATCGACACATAATTGTTTGATCCCTATAGATATTTAACACTAGAAAGTTAATACTGTTAGTAATTTCTAGCCTCTCAATTACGAAACTCGTAGTAATCACAAGTATTTCAATATTTAAATTTATAACTAAAGAATTTTATAAAAAAGTGTCACTGATTAGTCAATAATAAATTACTTTTGCTCAGATGTTTTAATATTAGTAATTAATAATTTTGAGTGTTTAAATTATAACTCACTAGTACTTTACTAGTATTTTAGAGTAATTTAATAATGTTTCATATCAGTAATTTCAATGATTAATATCTAATGGCAGTGATTAATACTAGAATTTGTTACTTTGTAATATTTCTCATGCTAAAAATATTATTTAGGGAACTCACTTCCAATAATCTTGATCTTAAGATATATTATAGAATTCACCCTCCTAAATAGTCTTTGAAAGATCCTAGCTACCGCTCATTGTTTATTAGAAAGTTATTAACAAAAAAATTTCATAAATAAAGTATACTTTTCTAGCACAGTGTATATTAAAAATGATAAACAGTACTCATATACATGTATGTGCGCGAATACAGTACGCGAGAGAGGGTCTCCGCCTCTCCTTCTGTATTCCCTACCTGAAAAAATCTAATCTAACCTATCCTATGTATTTTCGTGTATATAATTTCTCTATGAAATACTTCAATGATTTACGTCAAACCAAATACGTTGTGAAACATTAAAATATCTCATTGAAAAACTATATATATTATAGGTAGGATAAATATATAATATATATAGGATAGGTTAAGTTAGATTAGATTTTTCGAATAAGGAACGGAGTCCTTAGCACATGCATATATCCTGTTCACTATTCTTAAAATGTATACTATGACGAAAAAATATACTTCATTTATAAAACCTTTTTCTTAATAACTTTTTAATAAACAATAAGCGATAAACCTTTTGAATCGAACTTCTTGAAAACTATTAAAAATTAGATGACTTCTATAATATATTTCAAAATCAAAATTGTTAGAAGTAGATCTCCTAAATAACAGATTTATCTTTCTTGTAATATACCATTTTTCGTTCTCCATACATCTTCAGAATATATTATGAGTCCATTTTCCACTTATTTGTCGAATGTTATAAATATATTCTAGAAATAACATTTATGATTTTATCAAAATAATTTAAACCTTATAATAAGAAAGTTAAGTATAAATCTCTTCATAATTATTATAAATTTTATATTTTGTGCTTTCTAAATTAATGTATTTGTTTTAGTTTATTATAATTTTACTTCAAAATCTGTAAGAATTCATAGAGTCACTGGTTCGTTAATATACATTATAACAATGTCCATCATATTTCGATTATTGTTACATTGTTTCTAATATTTATTGGCAAATTTTTGCAACTACAATGTTTTTTGAACCATACAAAAACAGATTATAAACATAAACCAAAAACAAATTATCAGAGGTCATTGGCATTCTTTATTAATTCCTGTTTAATCATTAATATTAAGTAATAACAGTAGACTAAAAAAAGTAGATAGAAACCATTAAGAAATGAAAAATAGTTTTTTATTATATAAATAAAGTAATCTCAAACAATAGTCTGTTTTATGTCATTTATTTTTGTATAATTTGTTGCAAACAGTATTTTGTAATCATTATTATAACAATTCATTAAAAAATGATTTAACTTTGTTCACATAATTATCCAAATGTTACTAATATGTACATATACAAGTATCCCAAAAGTAACGGACCACCTTAATAATTCTTCAGTATTGAAGTTTCAAGGAAAATGATCTGAATAAAAGTTGTAGGGATTTAAGTGAGCTACTTTATGATGATCTTGACTTTGACCTTGACCTCTATTTTCAAAGTTATTTGAAGGTCAATTTGCGTTTTTTAAATGGTAACCCTTATATTTTATTACTGTTTTTTTTCTACTAGTTAATTTGAACAACTTCTGTCTAAAACATTTTTTTATTTGTCTAATATTTTTTTTAGATATTTGAGGAAAACTTGATAACTTTTTCCATATTTAACTTACAATATCTCGCTAACTATTTGTCAGAAGAAAAAGTGGTACTAGACTTTCTTGCTTTATTTAGTCTCAAGAATATATTGTTACAATAGCGCCCTGATTTTTGTTAATTTAATGATTTTGAAATTTTCAAAAATCAGCAAGTTAACAAAAATCAGGACGCTATTGTAAAAATATATTCTTGAGACTAAATAAAGCAAAAAAGTGTAGTACCACTTTTTCTTCCGACAACTAGTTAGCGAGATATCGTAAGTTAAATATGGAAAAAGTTATCAAGTTTTCCTTCAATATCTAGAAAAATATTAGGCAAATGAAAAAATATTTTAGACAAAAGTTGTTCAAATTAATTGGTGGAAAAAGACGGTGTAATAAAAAATCACAGTTTCCATTTCAGATTTTTATGTTAATCTTGACTGGACTTTTCAAAGTTATCCCAAGGTCAAATTCATATCGTCAGTGAATAGATCCTTTGAAGCCCTTTTGTCTGAAATATTTTTCTCTAAAATGTTACGTTAACGAAAAAATCGGGTGACCCGGGTCTGAAACACCCGGTATATATACGTATGTATTGAATGATGGCAAGAATTCCCGTTTTAAATAGATATAATTAGGAGAGTATGGTAGCACTTAATTATTATGTGTACATATCGTACATTGGAAAAGTAACATATTCAATTGCCATTTGAGCGGAAAACTTATGTTTTGATCAAATTTACATTGTGAAAAAATTTTGAAACGAACAAAGGTGCATTTATAACATGTTATGCTTTATGTTCATTTTTCGAAAGAGTGTAACAGTTGGAACCGTTGTAAAAAAGCATTCAAGATATCTATTAGGCCTGCGCACCCGCAATTCGAATTATTGAGAAATGATTTGTAAAATGTACTCGTGATGATTTTTATTTTGATGACTAGCAACATTCTGGCAGATCATCCGGCATAGACAATGATATTGTACGCAATTTAGCGCAAAATAATTCACGAACTTTAACAGAAGTAACAGACTCAATATTGACAGATCGACCATATTTCGACATTAAAAAAAGAATGGATACCCTTTAAAGCTCGATATGGATGCCGCGTTTGTTAACCGAAGCAAAAAAATTGAATTAAGTTTCTACAGTTGTTTTCTCACTTGACCGACTAAGTAAAAAGTCGTTTTTGAATCGACTAATGATTAGCGATAAAAATGGATCTTATATAACAATGTTCAACGCAAATGTACTTGAAAACAAGCAAATGAGCGTGCAAAACTCATGACAAAAGCCAATCTTGCATTCTGAAAAGGTGATGCTTTCAGTTCGATGAGATTATAAATCAATTATTTACTTTAAGCTACTCCTCCTTGGCCAAACGATTCATTTTAATAAGCACTGTCAACATTAAACAGTTCATTAAATAGTTTAAAGATAGTAATCCAGGAGAAGCATCCAAAATTTTAATGGAAAAAAATCCGCATTTTCGGAAGCTGTCAAATACCACTTTTCTTTCTTTTTCACTGCAAAATCGAGGCTTTATGATCAAGATATCCATATGCTACCAGAACATTGGAAAAACATTGCAGAAAATGATGGCGCTTACATCATTGATCAATAAAAAAATTTTAGATGCCGAATTGTTTTTTGAGTTTTAATGAGAAATCGATTTGAGAAATTTGTTTGAGTTTTAATGAAAAATCGGATACGAACTTTTGCACTCATCCAATATATACTTATATACGTGTGCGCACGCGTGTGTGTATGTATATACACACACATATACTAACATATATTAACTGTCCCAACACTAGTATAATAGATAGTCGTAACTCCACTTATATGACCTTGGGCAAAGCCCACACCTTACCGTAAAAAACTTGATAACTTCAAAGTGGTTAACTCAAAGCGGATAAAATTATAGTGTTCTGAAAAGATCTTAAAAGAGGTTATAAGAATATATGACAATAAATAAGGAAGCTCATTTCTTTAAAAAAATTTAAGATGATTTTGGCCTAAGACTATTTTGACGATTTCATCCGAACCTGTCAACCTGACAAGGTTAGTAAATGCATTTTTCTAAACTTACAACTTTTATCTGAAATATCTTTTTTTTTATAAAATTTATACTTTCTAAGATATTTCGCCATCACGAAATTTTGTATACTCCCCTATGTATGTGTGTGTGTGTGTGTTTGTTTATATGTGCGATTACTGCAAACTTTTTAGTCATTTTTAATATTAAATTTCTATGAAAAGAACTGTCACTATTAACAATATGTTTATATTTATAATGTTCCAATATTTATTACAGCTTTTTATTTTATTAAAAACTTGTCATAACCAATGATATGTAAAACTTAAAACAAAAATACATGTTCAGGATAAATATAAAACCATATTAAATAATTTATTAAGAAAAGTATATTATTAAATTGTCACAAATTAGGGACATTGTCACTAATTAGGCGTTCATTTTAAGTTGATTAAATTTGACACAGTGACACAGTGTTGTATATGCTTGAAAAAAAAAAGCGAAAGTGGTTAGATAGAAAAGTACAATTAGCTGTGTTAAAAAAAAAGCTATGAAAAAACTTTACACATATCGCACGCTTATTACCTTCGGTATAACTTCCACTCTTATTTTCAGTAACTCTTGCCGCGTGAACGGCTTCCGATGACATAATCGGATATGCATTGAAGAGTTTCAGATCTAGCGTTCTCAGTTTCGTAATAACCGCATCCGTCTTGTCGATATTATCATTTACACGTGAATCTAGAGCTTCAACTCTTCTCATCAGATGCTCCACCGCCTTGTCTAAATTTTCAATTCGCTGTAGTTTGGATTCCAAAGTTGATACTATCACTTCAAAAACGTTGAAAAGATATTGTTCTCTATAACAAACGATGTACATTACCAACTTATCGTTTTAATGTTCCATCAGTATCGCTAATAGATTTATACAATACAAAAACAAAATAAATTGTTTATATCTCTTAATATTTCCCTAACTTTAACTTAACTTTAACTTACAAGAAATCATTTTTTTAATATTGAAAAATTTTCTAATTATCTAAACGATTTAATTTTAATTGAGAAATTTTCTAATTACCTAATCGATTTAATTTCAAACTAAGTAATAAATTTGACAACTACCAAAACTATATATTTCAAAAACGTTCTACAAGCATTTGTTCAAAACATTTTATACTCGATACCTAGAAACATTTCATGAATTAAAAATTCACACGAAAAACATTATTATAGAACATTTTATTTCCAATAAAAAAATATTTAAGAAACTATCATAAAAACGTTCTATTTATTTTACTATTATTTTTTTTAGGATAAAAAATATATTCTGCAGACTTTGCAAATAAATATATATATATATGATATTGCAATCTATTACATTACACTCCAGACAACATTATAACGTTTCAAAAACGTCCAAAAGACATCTTAAAATTCCAAAAATATCTTACAAATTCGTCAGAAAGACATTATGTGTCATTATGTCATTTTTCGTAAATGAATATATTGATTAAATTAAATTATATTACATATTTTGAACAATAATTCATGCAATATAAATTTAAGTGTTTGAAAAGAAAAGTTAAAGATATAGACAACGTAGATCATAATGCTTTAATTAGAAAAAAGAAATATTTTTTATTTAACTCTAGAAACATTTAAAAAATATTTTTTTTAATTTATAGCTTCAAAAGGAATTTTATTAAAATGTTTCTTGTTAGTCCTTTACGGTTATGAAATTACGTATGCATTTAAAAAATGTATGTGAAACTAACATGTGCTGCTTGGATAATAATTTACCACGTGCGGTTAACATGCACGGTTCGGTCATCGCTCCTAAAGATGTATGTCGTATTTAATGTCACATTAACATAGAAGTAATATCGTGTAACGTTTGCAAACTAAATGGAAAGTAAGCGATGTATTGGCAAACTTTGGAAGTATGATCGATTCATTTATGTAACGACGAATAGCATCTAACATACAACCGACCTCGTCGACCGATATCGTCTAGAGAAATTCGTCATATTACAATCCATATTGTGTTTCTATTTTTTGAGAATAGAAGAAAATAAAGAAAGGAAGATTTATTAGTTGTGGCAAACATTTAAAGCACGAGTATTATGATTTGAAAGCCGACTTACCTGTTCCGTTGTGAATTGCGAAAAGACGACGATAACGTAGCACCGCTATTATTCTGGCTCGTACTACGCGTGCCACGCTGATCGGCGGATGTTCGTGGTAATCTCGAACTTCCCGCTAAGACAAAGCCCAAAAAGCACGCAATAACAAGCACCGTTTGTCTCATAATTATGAAGTGTCTTGTCAACTATCGAGTTCAATGAAAACAGTGTTAATCGAGCAACATCCAATAACGTAAAGGATGCATAATTATACCAAATAATGTCGATATTATCGATTCGCGATCAAATAGATCTCAAAAATAAATATTTGAAACACAATCTCCACTTTTTCCCCTCCTTTTCGTCTATCTTTGTTGCATACGTGGGTATATATTTAACTTATCCATGCATTCACTCACTCACTTTTGTCGTGGACATACTCCGATTTCTCACATAATGTTGCCGACGCGTCGGTCAAGATAGCGATTCAAACTCATTTATATCGTGAATTTCACTTGCCCGCACATAATAACTACACTAGCAAAAAACTCAGTTGCACGTGATCGCACCTAAAGCTCTTCACGAGTCAAATGTGAATAACTTGTCATACACATCGAAGAAACGTGATACCTTGAGAATGCTTTAACACATCGCCAATACCACACAAACGATTTTCGCACTGTGAAAGCACTTCGCACTTTAATCCGAAAGTATGTGAATTTCCTTAATACAAACACCAATCACACGGTAGTAAAAGAAGTTTGGAGTTGAAAATGATATCGATACTGACACATACTTCTACTTTTCCTTTCTTTTTTTAAGCAAAATATAATCGAGAGAACGACTATTTAATATAGTACATCATTTATAGAAATATTGGATTGAGCTTTATTTTGTTAAAAATTGCACGCTCGAGATGTTGATTTTTCTCACTATTTAATTGAAGTACTAATCAATTATGCGTATGAAATTATCCCACTCGTTGTCTTCTATCTTCTCTTCGTTTATTTTCTCTTGGCTTTTTTCTTGCGAATTCGTTGTTACATTATTTCTCGTATCCTGATGATCAAATCCCTCGAAGATAGACGATCGTTATAGACGTGGTTAGTTCTGTCATCCAAAATGATATCCGAGTTACAATCCGTGAGAAGTATCGAAAAAAATGAATAAATACGGAAAGAAAAGAATTTTTTGTAAACTATGGATATCATACGTGCCGCGGGTAAATAAATTCGCGACGTAATATGCCAGATGCGCGAAAAATAATAAATGTTTCAATATCCGTATCTCTTTTACAGCGTGTCGACAGCGACTATAAAACGGATACCACTAGGTCGGAGCGCGAATACAGGTATGTTACATCCCACGGAACAGGCGAAACACGCTGTGACATGGCGCATCGATTGGTTGGTTAGTTGGTTGGCTGGTGGTTGGTTGGTTG